TCCACTCACGTTTTTGGCAGGACTTTCCCACATCACCTCATGGCACATTTTTAGGAGATTTAAATGTTGATCTCAGAACAACAGACCAATAAATGGTACAGCAGGAGAGCTCTTAGTTTTCTAATTCCATTTCTGAAGATCTATGAAACTGATATACTAATTGGTTGAAATTGTCATTTGCTCTGGATATTGTTTCTCTAGCCTATATCATCAGTTTTCCTGCTGGAACGTTTTCTACCTGGGCACACCACTGCAAACTGAAACTTATCACACGAGCACACAGGCCTGCCCCAGCTCTGAAAGTCTGAGTCCATACCTTACATTAATAATTACACTCTTAACATATTCATGACTCTATTTTTGTTCCATAATTCTCTAGGTTACACAGGTTCAAAATGTCACAACTGTGAGATTTGCTTTACTCTCTGCTATAACTTGAGTGTGCTCTCAAAATTCACGACTTGGGAAGTTAGACCTCAAGGCAGTAGTAGGAGTTGAAGTCTTAAGCGGATCTTATGAATGGGCTAAGGTTTTCATCAAGGAAATGGGTTATTAAAGGAACGAGTTCCACCTCGCCTCCTTTCCCATCTCAAGCTTGTTTGTCCTGCTGTTATGGACACAGCAGAAAAACCCTCACTAGAAATGAGAGTTGTGCTTTTGGACTTCTTGGCCTCTGTGACTGTGAAAAACAAATGCTTTTTCTTTACAAACTATTCTCTCTGTGGTATTCTGCTATATCAGGAGAAAACAGACTAAAATACGTATTCTTCCCTTTTCTGTCTCTCCCACAACTCTTCCAATGCCTACCTCCAGCGACTTTGACATAGCTCCATCTCTAACAGTTGTTGTACTCATCTTTTGTGTTCTCAGTAATCAGCCACCTGATCCTATCATCTTGGCCTCATGGTGCTATGTTTATCCTCCTCTTTCATTTCCACCAGTTCTAACTGGACTGAGGGGCTCATCAAGTCACTGATGGGTCTTTCTTGTTCTTGGACTCCCATCCACCACAACTCTTTATGTGTATGTTGGAAGGTCTCTAAGTTGCACCTTATCAGGGGCCTGACCTAGATCCCTTATCAGGGGCCTGACCTAGATCCCTAATCTCCCAAACGAGTGTATGGCAAAGGCTTAAATAAAATGAGACAAGTGGTATGATTTTAGGGCTCCAGGAGGGTCAAAACCTGTTGTAGTCAGGGGTTGTACTCAGAGAACAATTAGGATCAAGACATGGAGTTTATAATATTATTTTTATAATGGTCACCAGGAGTTAACACAGGGAAATGCAGAAAATCTATCTGCAACACCAAAGACAGATTATTTAGTCAAGAGCCTAAACCCCATAGCAATGTCCCACGAGTCCAGATAAAACCCAGAGCTCAGGACAGTGACTCCCATGAGTCCATCTGGAGGTCCAGAGCCCACAAGAAGGACTCACACCAGTCTTTTTTATGGATCTGTGCCGGGAAGGCCCAAGGGTCAGCAGTGGAAGCCAGAAAGTCCATGACAGCAGGATGAAGGAGCTATGCTAGTTGGATGAGGGTTCTACACTGGAGCTGAAAAGTCACACTCACAACAAAGATCAGGGCTAACCTGAAAGGTACCACAGCCATCCTCAGCGACAGAGGCCCCGAGCTCCTCCGATGACAAGCACAGTTGGGTACATGCCAGGAAGCAGTGTGATGCATTCATCCTGGAGACCAAGAGGCACAAATCTTCCCCTCCAGAAACAGGAAGCAATGCTTGATGTGAGGACCAGAGCTCCTCTAGGAGAACCAATAGCTCAAACAGCACTTGTAGGAGAACCCACAATGCCTCCTTAACACCTCAACCCTCAACACCTCCCTTCTTCTCCACCTATTTATCCTGGCAACTTTCCTCAGGCGGAGTATCTCCGATCAATGCCATGCTGATGTAATCCAGCTGGCATTAAGTTGACCACTAGTTCTTAATCCATAACAAAACTCTTTAGCTGAGTTCAAGACTCTGAGGGCTAAGACAAAGACTTCTCTGGACCACCATATTTATTAGGTCCAAAACAAAGGGTGGGGAAACTGAGGAAAATGTGGGAAATGAGTCGGACCTTGGGAGTCACTTCAAAGACTTCTCCAGGTAGTAAATCATGTCAATTTAGGAGACTGTCTTATCTCCAAGATGGCATTTGTGGTAGGAGTGACTGCAGGAGTGAGATACCTTCAGCTGCCTCCTAGTGGTCTCCAACAATCCCTCAATGAGTGTGTGGTGAAGGATTTAAACAAATGAGACAAGTGGTATGATTTTAGGGCTCCAGTAGCTGAGTTCAAGACTCTGGAGGCTGAGACAAAGAGCTTATCTGGGTGGCCCATATTTATTAGATTTTCAAATATAGAAGGGACACTGAGGAAAGCACAGGAACTGAATATGACCTTGGGGGTCACTTCAAAGACTTCTCCAAGTAGTAAACTGCCAATTTAGGAGAACTGTCTTATCTCCAGGATGGCATTTATTGTAGGAGCGAGAAGGCAAGAGTGAGATTCCTGCATTTGCAGTCTCTATCTACTTAATTGGGATTGCAGCCTGGTGTCCACAGCTGTGGCCTCATCTTGTCCTTTCATGTATCTCTGGCCTCTCAGGCCACTACAGGTCTCAGCCAGGACCAGCGAGTCATACAGGTTCACTTACTATGAATCAGCTGCCATCACCAGGCAAGGGGCCGAGTCCTAGGACAGACTCACAGATAAATATAGAAAGCCACTTAGGAACATTTGTGGTCTGCAGCAGCACCTGATATCAGTCTCTTCCCCCAAACCTCTCACTGCATACCCTTCTTCAGGGATTCCCTTCAACACTGAAGCCTGCAATACTGCCATGCTGCCCTTTCCAGTGTCTCCCTTCTCCTTTTCCTGTACCCTGGCCAAAGTGCACTGACCACCCGAGCGTTCCTGAAACCCATGGATGGCTACTCGTGAGTGTCCTGATTTGCAGCTGCCCTTTCTCCTGCATCTGCTTATTAAAGTGTATGTATCATGAAGATCCTTCTCAAGTTTTTCCATAACAATTTTCTCTTCTATTCAATAGTTATCATAAGACAACTCACACCAGCTCCAATGAGACATGGAAGGATGGCAAATACCTGGTGAAGGTAGCCAGATTGCTGAGAAAGACTGAGTGAGACCTCAAGGCAAGAGCATCTTACTGATGTTCGTCACCTCTGGAGATCATTCGCACAGTACTCAGCAAAATGGAAAGGTGTTCACACCTCCATTCTCTCTCCATTTAATAAGTACTTTAAAAATTATCTAATAATTAAAAAAATCTAATAATGACATTTTCTTTCTACATGATATTAAATGTTATGAGATTTCCCCCCATATATTGTTTCAAATTGACGTTCATGCAGTCCTATAAGACAGGCAGGGTAGATACATAAGGTAAGCAAGGCTCAAGAGGGTAAACAATTCACCCAAACTATGAAGCCATTGTTTGAACCCCAAGAGGATCCTCATACTCAGAAGAAGACCAAAGAAGGATGGAAGGAAAATCTAAGCCCTCCAAGGACCCTTTCCTCTTCCAGACTTCTTCAAGATGGTAAAGATACTCTGAGAGCTTTGAGTGAGGGGCATTTCCAGCGAGTCTGCTAAGTGGTTCTGTGCGGCCCGATCACTTTGAATTCATGTTTACTTTTCCCTAATATCATCCCAGGAGTACAGGGACTGTAGACTTCTTTTGCCCTCCTAGTCTAGCTATAGTTCCCCACCTCTTTTCTGTTGAAAACTCCATAAATTCTTGTTGCTCTCAGATTATCATGGAAACTAATCTTAGAACAACTAAACTAAATTTAGTTTACAACAGAACTAAATTTAGAACAACTAATGTATCACGCTGTGCTCTGTATTCAGTTCTCCTTTAATCTCATCCTCAAAACTGACCCCTTCTTTACATACTTATCCATCCATCCATCCATCCATCCATTTATTCATCCATCTATCAAACAGAATGTCTTTGAATATCAGATTCACATACTACTATGTATTTGACTTCCTTAGTTTCTTTCTGGCTTGTTAATTCCAGAGAAGAGAACCCTGCTAAGGTTCCGATAGGCTTGTGCATTTTAACAGTGAATTTCATCAAGAGGCTATAAAGGCTTAATGGGAAAAGGGGGAAGTTAGATAAAAATGGGTCTTTTCCAAAAGAGACTTTATGTAGGACACAGTGGCCAGTAACCTCTAATTTGTTATTCTCCACAGGCTACATCACACTTTTCCTTTGGTGTCTGATGCCACCGAAAGCAGTGTTCTGTGTCATAGCTACTTTCTCCAGTTTTGTTAGTGAACGTTGTGTTGTGTGAATGCTTTGAAGCTTTCACAAGGGCTCAGGTTAGAGTTCTAACCAAGATTTCTAAGGTTTAAAATCAGAATTTGTAGTGGGTGCATGGAGCAGAAAAAGAAATCTTTGACTTCTGATTACATTTGGGATGTTTAGATATTGCATTGAGGAAAATAAAAAAATTCTTAATCACAGAAATGCTGGGAATTTTCTTCCCCATCCCTCCTCTCTAAACCATACTCCTTTGCCTCTGGTGGCTCCTGGCTGAGTACAAGGAGACTTCCGGGTCCCTGTTGCCATGAGGCCCACGAGGCCAGGTTCGGCCACCCCTTCACACTGTGGCATGCTGGGTGAAATAAAGAGGCTGTTGATTTACCTGTCTCAAAGCCTAACAGAGGCAGGCAAGTGGGTAGGGAAGCCTGTGTGGCACCTGAAGGTTAATGAGATGCTCCTCATGATCAAGTTATGTAAAAATCTTCGGGAGTACCTTTTCCTTCTCACTTAGCAAATACAGTTCCTGAGATCAACTGCCTCTTTTCTCTAGGTGATAAAAGACTCTCTTCATAATGTTCTCTTTCTCTTTTCTATCACATAAGTCATGATATGGGTTCTACTAGAGGCGTTGAAATGCCAGGATAATTGAATTGATACCTCAACTGTGTGATCTTATAATACAGATGAGCCACATCGAGTGGTATGATACAGAATACAGAATCCATTTATTTGCCCCTTCCCCATCCCGGGTTTAGCAAAATAAGTCAGATCCTGATTTTATTTAACTTGAAAAAAAAATGCCACCCCAAGTTCAGAGAGCTTAGAGCCCCCACGCCAGCCTCAGCACAGGTCCAGTTCATGTGCGTTCTGCCTTTAGTCAGGTGCCTTTGCAGGCTGGTGCAACCTGTGTTTTATCAATAGTTTGAGTTTCCCACTCATTATGTGCGAAAGTTTAATTGTCATACACCCATAAGTGAGGACTGCTTTGAAAGATTAGATAGTAATGATAAGTTCTCCTGAAGTCAGCTGGATGGAGGGGCTCCCACCCTTGGCTGTGGCTGCTTGTAGCTTTGCCAGTACCTCGGTGATGTATCTTAGCAACATGTGGTAATTTTCAATGGATAGGTCAATCAGTCCTTGGAACAAGGCAATGACTTTTTCATGGTAATCAGAGAATTGGTCTGAAAGCTCCTGCAGTTTAGATGTGAACTGCTTCTGGTAATCAGAAACAATCTCCTTCATTGCAGTGGTCAAGGTTTGAATTCCTTCCTGAGTAGTGTTAGAAAGCTCTGCAATCTTCACCCTCCCCTTTCCGTCTGCATCCACAAAGATGCTAAGATACTCTTGGACAAATCGCTCAACCTGGGTTGAGAGCTGGGAGGCAAACTTGGTAGCATGGGCTGTGTACATGGAATGGAGGTCTTTGAGGGAAGCTGCTAGGTGCTTGATCAGGTCAACTATCTTTTCTTCAAGTTCATAGTATTTTACTGTCCAGCCGATGATGCTTGGGTCAAAATACTCTTCACGAAGCGCCTTTACATAGTGATGGATCTGCAGCAATCCCTGGGAAGTAGTCTGAAGATAGAATTCAACAAGCTCATTGATGTGAAGGGATAGGCCCTCTTTAAGCACACCATATGTAAATGGGATGTATGTATTGATGACTTCCCTTACAGTATTAGTGAGGTGACTAAGTCTGGTTTCCTTTAAGGATTTAATTTCTGCTTCTATCTCTTGGAAAACGATTTGTAAAAAGCTTTGGAGGTCACTTAGTTTCTCTGAAAATTTGATAGACTGGAGGTCAATTAATGCCTTTTGAACTTCTTGTGATAAATATTCCAACAGTTTCCTACAGTTCAGAATCACTTCTGTTAGTTTGTAGCGCCCTGCATCATAAGGAAGTTCAATCTGTAGGTCTCTGATTACTTCTGATTTCTCCACTAGGTCTTGGGTATAGGAAAGCAGCTTCTCTAACCCATTTTGGAGATTTGAATATACCTGAGACAGTATTTTCCCTATTTCCCTCATGACTATTGTGCAGAGTTCATCCCTAGTGTATGTTCCATTCATCCCCGGAAGCTGGATTCTGGTGAGCTTCAGGAAATCAATGAATGAGTGGATCAGGTGCTTGGCTGCCTTGTGGTACTTGTGGGTAACTTGTATCAAACTGTCAAACACCTCATCTTTGAGTCTCTGGGAGTTGTTTTGTCCCTCCTCAGCTAGCAGGTCTTGGTACAGATCCTGGGCATTTTTCTTCCACTCCTGGTAGGCTCCCGTAGTGCTGCTGGCTGCAGTCTGGACCTCTGCCTCCAGCTCCTCGAGCTGCCTCCGGGCTGTTCGGAAGGCTCCTTCCGCACTCTCCCGCACACTTCTCTTCAGCTTTGCAGAAGCGTCTTTCAGGTTGAGTCCCGTGTACTCCTGGTGGTATTTGTCAGCATAGTCATACAAGGCTCCTGTGGCCTTCGGGACATTGTCCTTTAGAGAGCTCAGCAATCTGGAAGCCGCTTCTTCTTCCCAGTTAAATCTCATCTGGGTTTTGTCACCAGATTCCTGGTACTTCCAGTCCATTTTGAGTATGGTGAGTTTTTTGTCTGAAGAGGACTAAAACCAGAAAAACAAAAATAAAAACAAAAAAGCCAGATGAGAGGAATATGTTTTCAATTACTCTGATTATGTCATACACTACAGTAAAACTTCATTAGCCATTAAAATAAAGATGAAAAGATCTTTCATAATCTGAAGGGGATTTATCTCCTATATGTCAACTCATGTGTTTGTTTTATGGTTAAACAACCTCACTCCTGTTAATTTCTCTTTATCATACGCACTAGAAAGAATTAAAAACACACTGGGCGTTTGACAGCAACACTTAACATAGAGGCCTTCCTGGGGCTGCAGTTTGGAAGAGGAGGGAGCCGAGAAGGGAGGACAAGGACAATCAGTAGGAAGGAAGTCGTGTGGAAATGAGAAAGTCCTCCAGGGCCCAGCCAGCAGGCCTCTGGCCCACCGGTTTCAGTGTCACTGTCCAAGTCCATGACAAACCGTTAGTAACAGAGTCCGTCTCCCTTTTGGCAGTAGCATCTTCCATGTGGCCCTGGCAGAGCTTACAAATGACATGAGAGGAATTTGATGTGCATCCTTCAATAATTCTATTAGGCAAAAGAACTGTGAAACTCAAAAAATATGTTTTGAGATTTAGCTCAATGGCATAAGCGCTTGCCTTGCAAGCAGGAAGTCATGGGTTCGGTCCCCGGTACCGATAAAAAAAGGAAAAAGACAAAAAAAAAAAAATGTTTTGAAAAGCAGTGTACTCCTCATAAGGCAGAGTTTTCCATGCATTAGGAGGGGGAATCGGGAGGGGGTGTTAAGATGTGTCCTGGGTGTGATGAAACTTAGCGAGCGTCAGGTACTTCCTGGAGAAGTCTGCCATCACCCGTCACCTAGCTGGAGGTTGCCCTAAAAGACTTGTCTGGAGTTGAAGGTAACTGCTCGGATTTGCTCTCGGGTGTGTTCATCCCCAGGACTCACCTGAGGCTGGAAGTAGAGGTTGCACTTGAAGCTGCGGTCACCTTCTGTTTCCAAGTCCAAGCCCACAGTGCCTATGGCCGGAGAGGCTGCCGAGGAGGACATGCTATTCCTGTCTTCTTGGTAGCGTAAGTGGAGCTCGGTGAAGGCAGGGCTTCTGAAGTCCAGGCTCGCCTCCCCTTCCCAGTCCCTGAGAGCAGAAAGGCGCGTGAGTCACAAGGAGAGGGGTACAGAGACGGTGGGCATCGCAACGCGCTCTGAAGAGAGACAGAGTTGCAAGGAAATGTCCTTACTCCAGTCCTTTGTATTTGCCATCTTCTTCGTATTCTGCACTGAGGTCACTGTGGTCCAGCGTCCCTTTGATCTTGTAGCTCAACATGGCATCATCAATTTTGTACGTTCCCACAACTGTATAGAAGGGATTTGATGTTTCATTAAGTGAATAATTCCGAGACACAGACATTTTCATTATGAAAGCTAGGAATATCATACCTTAATCAGACATCTTACATGTTTAAAGCATGCCATGTGGGCATAGTTTTTAATTTTATTTGTTCATTTTAGTGGTGCTGGGGTTGAACTCAGGGCCTCACCCATGCTAAGCAAGGGTTTTACCACCCAGGTATACCCCACTACTATAATTGCCATTGTCTTTTATTTTTATTTAATTATTTTTCTTTTTGAGATAGAGTCTCTCTGTGATATTACATTGGCCTCAAACTCCTGGACTCAAGTGACCCTGAGACCATAGCAACCCAAAGAGCTGTGACTATAAGTACAGGCCACATTTTGTTTAATAAAGAGAAGACATTATTAGTGCTAAAATCATTATAGCAAAATCTCTTTGAACTATTCTTCTTAAACATCAGAGGATTTTCTATGATTTGGTTTCTGCATATGTATGTCCTATTTTCTTTTAAATTTTGTTACAGAGAGTAATTGCATCGCTAGCCATCACTAAGTAAGTAATTATTTCATCACAACTCATGCTGCAAACATAGAGTAGCTGGGAGAGAAATCGGAACTTTCCTTACCGTTTAGGTCATACTCCAGGAACTGTAAAGTTGAGCTGCATGTGGAATCCAGGAAGGTTTCAACATGATCCGCATTGTTTTTCAACCCAACATTCCAGGTGGCATTATAAAGGGGAGAAGCCACCCCAAAACGTGCAGTCAGGGCTCCAAAGAGAGGAAGGAAAACTCCGGCAGGTACAGAGAACTTGATGGAAGGAATCTCAATTGTCTGCTCGGGCACGGTGATGGTGGGCAACTCAAAGTCCCCAATCGTGCTGGCTACCTTATTGAGATCCAGAACAGCACCGGCAATCCGAAGACTCTTTGGAAGCGTGAACTGGGACACAGTTAGCTGAACTTCAGGCACAGTTATCTCAAAATAGGGCACTGAGGAATTTCCTGGCTCAGAATATTTTGTGAAGACATTCACTTGAGGGACTTTTACCTTGGGCAGTTTTGGTAGGCTGACAGCAAATGGTGATGAACTTAACTTCTTGTAGATTTTTATTTCACTGAAGTCAAGCTTGAACGATGGAACCTGAAGATTCGTAAATGGTACTTGGAATGTGGGTGTGATGAGATCTGAGTACGGATCATTCAGTTTCAGCCCTGGGATAACGAATTTATCAGTCAGTTCTTGCACAGGGGCAGACAGAGGAAAGCCCTTGGGGTTTTTGGTGTACACAAGAGCCGTAGCTGCATGAAGATGCTGTCTCTTTCTAGGGCTGGTGGTTACATCCAGTTTTAGGAGATCCCATAGACTCTTGTCATACACTGGTAGGTTGATAAATTTCAGGAAGTGTAGGTGTCCTTCTAAGGTTCCCGCAATGTCAAAGCGTGCTTCTTTCTGGTCATTAGAAAGCTGTAGACTGTTCTTGAGAGTCCCAGAGTGAATCTGAACCTCACTCTTCCAGCCGAACTTCTGGTTCTCAGTGTTAGCGTTCAGGACCACTTCCTGGCCAACGTGAGGAATGTCAAAGAGGGAACTGAGCTGGCGTGCACGGACTTGAATAAGCGCTGACACTGCTCCCGGGAACAGTTCCAGGGTAGCTTTGCTTGTATGCTCTCCATGTGTGGAAAGGAGAGGCCGTAAGCGGTCTTTCATGCTGTGTTCCCACATGGTGTATATCCGCAAGGGAGTGGCTTCCCCAGCGAAATTTTCCTTTACTTCCACGTTCCAGATACCATCAACTTTAGAAGAACCTTGCAGCTTCACAGAGGACCGGGTAGCCTTGGAATTCAGGTAAGTGCTGGCCTCACTAGCGAGAGCTCCTGAATACTCCCGTGAGAGGACCAGCCCTTTGATATCTGCTTTGGTAGAGGACTCAATGGAAAAGTATGAAGTGAGGCTTTCTAAGCTGAGCTTGTGGTCAATCGCCCCTTTTGCAGTGGGGAACATCTCTGGGGCATTGAAGTCATACTTTAGTTCAATGGATGAAGAGGCAGCAGGTTTTGACTTGGTATTTCCATTAAGCTCATGCTTGAAATTCATTCTCAGAACTGGGACGTGGACTTTTGCACTTGTGGTTAGCGATGCTTCCATGTTTTTCTTGGTGAAGCTAATGGTACTGTCATGACTGCCTTCTACAAATTTGTTACTCAGAGACAGAGCCGTGGCTAACTTCAGTCCTCTTTTCCTCGTCAAACGTAAAGTGCCCTCTAATTTGTACTGTAGTGCATCGATGACAAACGAAGAGGAAGAAAGGAAATGAGCCACAATATCTGACTGGTTATAAAGTCCAGCGTTGGTATTCAGGGTGATGACACTCGATTTAAAGGAAAAATCATAGGTCATGTTGCCCATGGCTGGAATAAAAAGACTGCTTACATCACTCAACTCCTTGAGATCTGGGAGAGAAAGTTTGAATAGATTCCTAGGGATATAAAGCTCTGGCAGTTCGATGGATGGCAGAACTAACGTGTATGAAGGCACAGAGAAATCAGAACTAGGGACAGTGGAGCTAGATGTGTTGATTGCTTTGGGAATCACATGGCTGAAGGGCCATATCTCTGCTGAGAACGGAGACACCTCAATGCTGATGACTGGAATGGTGTATCCAAGATACTGAAAGGTCCTGGGGGGAGCATTGCGGGATTTTTCAGCTCTAACCTCATCCCATTTAAATTTCACTGCCTTGTAGGCTGTAGTAAGGAAATCCAAAGAATTATCTCTGACATTCGCAACATAGCTATCCAGGGAATTGACATTCTCATTGATAAACTTATAAAACCTTCCCAAAGGAATTGCAATGGAGTGCTTGTCTTTGTTTTTCTTATACTGAATCTTTACATTTAAATCAACTGATTGCTTTGTTGTTTTCAGGAATTCTTTCAAGCCAGTTGCTTCCCAGATGTTGAAATCTTTCAGTGAGGGAGTTGTGAGTGCTATGTAAGATACATTCATTTCAGGGATTGTTAAAGGAACATTTAGGAATTCCAGGTTGGCGTCTCCATTGATGGACACATGAGCTTCAATGCTGTTCTCATTGTTAAGGGCAGAGAAGTTTTGATTGTACTTATACTGATTGAACCTAGCACTTGCCTGCCAGTTTGCCTGCTGGGCAGCAGGACTCACAAGTAGTGCATAGTTATTTAAAAAGTCTATCTTCCCTGTCAGCTTTAAGGGAAAGCTAACTTTCAAATTTCCTTCATTATTGGCGGACGCAGTCATCTCAAATGGCTGGGCTGAAACGAAAAGAGAGTTTTTCAAAGTTCCAATCACTTTTCCATTTAAATGAGCATTGTGGTCTCCAGTTATTTCTACCTTCCCTTTATCAAGTAGGGCGATGCCTTTAGCGTTGAGAACACTATGGCCCACATGCTGGGATTCCACATCTGATGTAATGTCAAATTTAGAGAAGTTCAGGAAGCCAGATTCATAAGCCAGGTTCTGGGTCACTCTTACGTGTTTGCTGTTGATCTTATTGGCCAATTCAAGGGAGGCAAGGGGTCCTTTCATGGTAAAGCTGATTTGTGACTCGTGTGTCCCCTCATCTGAGAAGTTGGGACAGGCCCATTTCCATGACCCTGCTCCAGAAGAGGTCAGCGTTACGTGTCCAGCCTCCAAGCGCGTGTTGACATCATTAATCAGCTCGGCCTTGCTGGAGAAGTCTAGTTTGGGGATGTTCAGTTTGTGGGAGTACTTCGTGAGGCTATCCAGGGTAAGCTGGTCCTTTATCTTGACTATCATGCCATTCTTAAGCTCCAGTGTGTTTTTTTCGGTATGAAAACTTGCCACGGTGCCTGATTTTCCCTCAATGGCATTTGTAGAAAATACTATTTCACTTCCATGCCCCATTCTTAGGTACTTGCTGGAGAAATTCATGGATTCCTTCAGAAGCAGTGGATCGGTCATAGGCTCCAAGAGTTGTGCATTTGCTTGAAAATCAAAATTGAAAATTTCGAATTTGGACTCTCCTTTGGCACCGATGAAAGCTTCAATTCCCGCTTGGTGCTCTGAAATAGTCACATTGTGTACATTAGCTTGTGCATCTATGGTGAAAAGGGGAAACTGGATTTTCAAAATGCTATTGAGCTTGCCAAAAGCAGGGATCTTGGCAGTGTGTGAGATGGGAGGAAGCTGGAATTCTGGGATGTGAAGGTCGGGAACTCGAAACTCTGAAAGGTTGAGATTCGGGATTGCAAACTCTGGGATTGTGATTTCTGGTAAACTGAAATCTGGTAGCATGAGTCTGGCAGGAAGGATGTTCTCCACCTTCAGGTCCCTTAGGTATACTTCGGGGACCGGCCACCGGAGCTCACTGCTCAGCATCTGATCGATGGTTCGGATAATCCTGACTTTTATGTCTTTCAAGTCAATTGTAAAGGAAGGGATGTGGAACGTGTTGAGGATAGTGAATTGAGGCGTGGAGAACCTGGATGGGATTTTTATGTCTTTCAGCTCTTTGAAGTTTATCCGAACTGATGGAATCTTCAGATCTGTCAGGGGAACTACGAAGTCTGGAGTCTGGAAGGTGGCTTGCTGAAGAGCACGAAGACTGACTTCAAAGGCAGGCATGGTCCCAAGAAAGGTCTGGATTTTAGGGACAGTGAACCCTTGTTCCACCAAAGCTGTCACATTTGCAGCCCAGGCTTGGATAGAATATTGCTCTGCAAGGTCAGCGAGGTTCTTAGCAGTAAGACCCCACCAGTCAGAGATGTAGGTGACTAACGTGTTGTAGACCTGTCCTACCAGAGACAGGTATCGCTCAAGTTCGTGCTGGATATCCATTTGGTAAATTCGGTCTCGCATGTCTTCTAGAGTCTCTTGGAATTTTGCTTTTATGGGAAGGAAATATGCAGAATTTAGTGCATTCTGTAACCAATCAACAAATAAGGTTATTTTGGTGTCCTTCAGCTTTTCCAGAAAGGCAGAAAGCATGACCTTGACATCCTCTATAAACAATTTCAGTGCTTCAGCTTTCTGTGGTAGGTCCAGATAACTATTGGCTAGCTGAATCACTTCACGGATTGTGTCATTGGTTTCATTTACAAACTGGTGGTAGTCAAATGACCTTAATTCCTTTACCAATATATCAAGCAAATGGTTTACGTCTTCAATGATTGTTTTAAAAGAAAATTCTTTAAGCTCCCTGATAATATCATCAATAAACACAAGCAGTTTCTCATAGCAATCTTTTATATCAACTTGTTGTAGAGCATTGCTTAATTTCTGAACCATGTCCTTCAGTTTATATTGGTGGGCTAACTGTACTGATTTATCTATTAAAACTTGGATCTGTCTGTCTATGTCATATTTCTTAATTAACTCATGGGCTACAGCTCTAAAGGCATTGATTTTCTCAACTACTTCAAAATCGTTGATAAGATTTATAACGAAGTATTTGACATGCTCAATAATAGTATTTATTTTTTGAACTGGAATTGTAGCTCTGAGTTGATTTAAAAGTTTTCTGATGTCAATAGCTTCAACCTGCTGTTTTAACTTTGCAGCAAGCTCCTGGATATCTAGGTTCTGAATCTGTGTTCTGATCTGCTCTAATTTTTCCTGTATTTGGACTCTGATTTGGTACTGAGTATCTACATTTTGAATCCAAGATGCTGTACTGCTTGCCATTTTGTTAAAATCAACATTTTCAACAAACAAATATAGACTGTGGATTGTTCTTACTAAAGTTACACGGATCTGATAACGTTCATCAAGACTTTTTAAACGTTTAGTAATTTGATCAATAATCTTAGCAATAGCTCTTTTTACATCACGTAGATCATAATTATTTATAATATAATGATCAAATTGCATCACATATGTCTGAAACTGAGAGAGTTTTTCATTAAGGTTGATTTTGACAGTATTCAATGCAGTTTGTAGATCATTTTCTGTGATTCTGTAATTTTCTGCAAAAGCAGTCAGTTTCTTCTTGGCACAGGCAATTTGTCTCTCCCAGTCGAGTGCATTTAGATGCTCACTAACTTGCTGTGGGAGTTTGCTCAAGCCTGCACCGTATTTCTTCACAAACTGATCAATATCGATGCGTTTCAGTTCTCTCTGTATGATTTCCAGTGTAGTTATAATTATTATTCGATTTCTCTCCAAATATTCCGGCAGTGTTTTAAGGAATGGGAGGCTGATAGTGTGGACATCTTGGTTCTTATCATATTTCACAAAAGCAACAACTGTGAATTCTTGGGGCTGCTCGATGGCATCTTTCATCTGTAAAGCATCTATGACATTGATGGGCTCACTGAGCAGAAGTGGCACTTTAATTGGGAAGTCTAGCACGGTGAGGTCAGCCAGGCCTCGCCCGCTGAGCTCCACGCCGATTTTATCTTTGGTGTTGTAAGCATCAAAGTCTTGGCTGTATTCATGGTTGTTCAGCTGGGTCTTGAGTTTCCAGGTGCTGGTCTGCTCGGTCGGAGTGAGCAGGGCACTGAGTCTGTGATCAAGAGCCGCACTGATGCTTTTCCCGGACGAGAGATTGTGACTCGTGGATCCTTTGTAATCATGAGAGAAAGTAAGAGCCAAAGGTTCTGCTTTCAACAGAAACTTGCTATACAGCTGCCCGGTGTGTTCTCCCCAGAGGGCCAGTTTCCCATTGCCATTCACATGTGCGTCAATGGCCACGGTAAACGGGGCCAGCGCAGAGTGGACAGCGCTGTTGAACCGCAGGGAGTCCGAGTGATAGTTCGTACTGATGTCAACCGAGGCGGCCAACCCGGCGATGCCCGTGCTGAGCCGATGGCTAAACTCCGCGCCCTGAATCCTAGCTAGAGTATCTGCTTTGTAGCTTGCTGATAAGTCAGCGTAGGAAATGGTGTAGATGTGCTTTATTTCATTATTTTGGTAGGCTGCTTTCAGGTTACCGCCCACGTTCAGCTTCAGTGGTTCTAGGCGTAACTTTCCACTGCTGGTCAGATCCAGAGCGCTGTATTTCAGGTCGTTGTTTAAAGTAGTTACAAGAGAGAAGGGCTGAAGCTGAAAGTTAAAATTCTGCTTGTAAAACTTGTCAGCGCTATAGATGTTGTCAAGTTTGGAAGAGAACTCCAGCGACAGTCCTGCAATGCTCAGACTGTTGGCGTGGTCCAGGGTCATTTCCCCATAGGAGCCCATCAGGTCGTTTGAGACCTTCAGTCCTTCTCCACTGAGTCTGAAGCTGAAGACATTCTTGCTGTCCACACCCATTAGCATGGCCTGATAGGCACTTGCCAGGGACACCTCTGTGAGGGCGGCTTTTCCATCCACGCTGAATTTTGCGCTGTGTTCTCTGAAGCGGCCGTTTGCTGCTAACTTCATAGATGCCCCAGAGAGGCCGAGTGCCGCATTCAGTTCGTTCTCCAAAAACAGGGGGCTGTATTTCAAGTTGGTTGTTGCACTGGTAGAGATCCCATCACGGGTGATCCTTAGGGTGGCCTTGTGAGCACCTGCATTAATTTTGTCAGTGCCCAGAATGTCTGCGTTCAGTTCAACGCCCTGGGAATTCAGGGATCCAGCCAGCAAGGAAAAGAACTTTAGTGACTTGTAATCAGCCTGATACTCAGAACGCAGCAATGCGTTTTGCTTAGAGAAGGTCAGGTCCACCTTGTTAGAGGTGGCCAAGTTCTCATAGTTGCCACTGGTGTCAGATTTCAGGGTCAGCTCGTAGTTTTCGTACTTCAGCGAAGCGGTGTTTTTAAGGGTGCCACCTTGGAGATTAGAGGTGGATGTGAGGGACAGGGCGCCATCCTCATACACTCCTGTCATCTGGTTGGTGCCCTGGAGGTAGGAGGAGTTAAATCTCAGGTTGGACTCCCCTCTTAGCTGGCCAGTGGTCGGGTTCCTCTGACACGTCAGGCCATAAGTGCCCTCAGCATAGAATGAGGAGGCCCTGAGCTGTCCGTCAATCTTGACATCTTTGACAAACAACTGCTGTTTCATTTTTGAATCCAAATGGACCGAAGCAGACATCTGTGGTCCCCAGGTACTAGATATATCAAATGTGAGTACACCTTTGGAGGCTGGGTTGTTTCCAATTTTTTCTACATGACTGAGCTTGACATTTGAGTCCAGCAATTGGTGCCGTAGGGAGCCATCACATGACAGTGTAAAGGTATTCCTGTGGTCATACGTTGTTTCTCCCGATCCTAACACAAAAACAAAAGACACTGGTCAAATTAAATCCATTTTCAGAACAATTTCTATGCTAAAAGTCACTAAGAAAGTCTCATTTCTCTGAGTCAGTTGTACAATCGTCTTCCAGCCTATAATTCAAATGTAAATTTGGTGCGGAAAGGGATTCCTCTAGGAAAACTTCCTGAAGCTGCACAGGGCTACTGAGTAATTCCACTGAGCCTCTATCACTGCACTCCCACACCGAATCATCACTCCTGGTTTACACAACCACTTTCTTTGCTATTGTCTAGAAGAATATCTAACACACACTCTGGGCTTAGTAAAATATTTCTATTGGTGGAGTGAATTCGTAGATTTCCAGATAGCAAGGAAAGTCACAAAGCTTAAGTCATTTCCCTCTCAGAGGCGTCTCTGCCGTGAGAGCTTGTCCTGAATCAGCCTGGCTCAGTCTTTACCTGTGCATGGCTCACCTTGCAGGCTGTAGGACAGCAGGTTGACCACAGAGTCAGCCTTTATGTGGTACCGTGCTTGGAGGCGGAAGTGATCTCTGCTGGTGTTGCCACCAGTGTAGGAGGCGGACAAATTGTACAAGTTGCTGTGCACATTTGTGGAGAGGTCTAGGACTCCTAGTAGAGGCACTCGCAGCTGATATACTTCGGGAATGGTGAACGAGGGGACCTGGAACTCTTGAGATGGTAGCTGAAATCCCAGGGATTTGAAGCTGAGGGCTGGTGTTCGAATGGTCTCTAACATCTTTAAATCTCTGGATGATTTGCCGCCAAAAGGCAAAGGAATTTCAACCTTGATGCTGTTCTTGTTCAAGATATATTTGATTCGCCCATCACTGAAAAGAACAACAAAGACCATATTCTCTAGTCAGTCATCAAATCTATCATCAAAACCCTTGACCTTCTGATCTTCCAAGCAATACTGCATTTGCTCTGTCCCCAGACCCACACTGTGTTCTGCAGTGTGCTGCTCCTGCTGCCTGGTGGACCCCTTTGTGTTTTCCACTATTTTCTAAATAAATTCATCAAAACCTTTCCCAGAGCCCCTCCCTTTCCATCATCACCAGCCCACCTAAGTACAGATATTTTCTCTCATTCTCTTGATGTAGTTCCTGATGCCCATCTCAAAGACTACGTCCCAGTTCTGCTCATGTAATTAGCTATTCATTCCTTTGCTGGTATCTGCGTAGTATTTTCCCAGGAGGAAGGACTGCACATTATCCAGTTTCTATGTTTTTACCACAGTTGGTCTAGTATTTTATACTGAGTGGATACTTCATATAAATTTTCTAAACTGAACTGGGACAACTTGATATGCAGAAAGAACACAAGTGTAAGTCAGTAAATTTGGGTGATACTCTTTATGTTGCTAATGGGAAATATTATTTGAATGAATTAGGTTCTGTGAATCTCTCTGATGTTATGTGCAGAGTAGAGACTACGGTTCCCTTTCTGATGACCTTGTGGAAACGGCTTTGGAGATCAAATGATAAAGAATATCTAAAAGCACTTTGCAGCATTTTCAATATTATGCACAAGCAATGGACTATAATGAAAACATACAAATCAAGTAGGATGACAATGTTCAACTATTCTAAGCCAATAAACTGCTGCATTACTGTTGAGAAAGGAGCTGAATGTTACCTACCCAGGATTCTCACATTCAGCAAGAAGATGATCAATGGCCAGCCACTAAGACGCTGTCCGATTCTGGGGTCCCAAACACCAACAATGAAAACAGTCCCCTGTCCTGTGAAGTTATCAACTTCTATTTTTCTTCAGTAGTGTCTGTCTATCCAGGTGTCTGGGCAGATTTCAGCCCTTTCACAATGTCTTTAACTATTACACTGTGGTGTTTAGTCATAGTCTACAGAAAGGGCTATGTAACGAGGGCCACTTATCTTTTAATCTTGAAGACATTCTAAAGACCAATACATTTAGACAAGACTAATTTTTTCAACTCATGCTCTGATTTTTTGTTTTTATGACATAAAGTAATCAAAGCATTACATATGCTTTTGAAATATAAAAACGGATTGAGCAGTTTGGAATTGGATGCTCCTGGAAGGGTTAAATGGTATCATTAAACTGAATGTCTGTCAATGTTCAATATTGTTTGGACCTTCCATGACTCAACAGTAGGCTGTAGTCAATAATTCCTCTTCCTATTCTTCTAGGTATTCTTTATAGCCAAATAAGTATGAGCATATCCTGATGCAGAAGAAAAAGGACATTTACTTGTAGTGGAAGAAAGCTAAATGGTTCTCAAATCTGGCTTGTAGTGAATAAAATATTTTAGGACAAATGTACCTAATAATATTTCAATTATTTTCTTAGCTTCCTCTTGATTGGGTTGGTTTTTACATTTGGATCTTATGTTTAATAATGAAAAAGTATCACAGAGTTTATGTCACAGTTATTTGTCTCCTTATGCATAAATTATTTCTCAGAAATTTAAGTTAAAAACAAAAGTCTAAATCACGTTCAGTAACATGTTCCACTGAATTTGCATGGCCTGGGAAAACTCTCTCATTTTTCCTCTTACCTTTTCAAGAAGAGGTTGTCAGGGAGGTGGAAATACGGTAACCACATTTTTTCGAGGTTCAGCTCTTTTAAGCTGCTGAGATGATCTTGTAAAATCTGGGCATAAGGAAGTCCATTGGCTGCTTCCTGGAGCCATGTGTTTGTTGTCTAAAAATGACAGAAGATTTTTGGAGCAAGGACTAGATCTGCATGAGCCTCAGAGTATGGCTCACACTGGGTGACATTCTAGATTTACCAGGTCAGTTGTCAAGCAGGACAGGGTGAAAATAAATTAGGCAACTAAATAAAAAGGTAAAAATAAATTACGGAAAATTGCCAGTCAGTGAGCTCATCCCATGTTTTGTAAAAATAATATAGAGCCCTAGTGATTGTCCTAAAGGCTTCTTTGAAGCCTCTAGTTTGTTAGGTACAGCAAATGCTTCTGTTTAGTAGTATTCATTTGGTAACTAACCAGGTAACTAGGCACACACAATGTTTCCTTCCTTCCCAGGAATTCCCCAGGGCCAGGAAGCATGCTGTATGTATCTCTGGACAGTCTCCTTCCTCTGAGAGTTGAGGATGTAATTAGCAGTTATAACCGTCCCTTTTTCTGACTGATTCATACTTACTACTATTAATTTGGAGCCCATCTCCGAGAAAGTCATGCCTGTTTGAGGAATCCTGTGATCTAGCAGTTTATTGGCATGCATATGCAGGCTTCTGAGATAATCAGAGGGGTCCACAGGGAAACTGGCAGCCGCTTTTTTAGTATCTACATTGGTTCCTGTGTTCCACTGGAATTCGATCTTCTCATCATCTGAAAATGCACAGGTGGGGAAGCTGTCAGCAGTGCCAGGTCAGCAGTAATCGTGGCTCTGCACTGACGGCTCCCTGTGGAGCGTTTATGGGGGGACGGAGGCACATACCGTAACGCCACACCACCCTCTTGGAAATGGCCGAGCCGTACGCTGTCGCCGAGGAGTCCATATGAAGCAGCAGCTTGGTGGGGGACCAGTGGGTTGAGATCTCACTTCTGGCTTCGGCTTGCAAACGGGGTATGGAAATAACGCCTTTGATTTTGCCTTCCCCATTCGTGTCATGACTATTGGGAAGACAAGCATCTGGGATCAATGGTTTTATCCATTCAAGGGGGCTCACAGGACTCAACAATTAGAAATTCCACCTTTGGTGACAAAACAATGTACAGGAATAGATGTGACCACAGGTAGATCAAGCCCATTAACCTCTCAAGCCAATACTGAGCAGAAGTGCAGTGCTTTTTGGGGACGTCTGTACACATTTTGATAGCTATTTTAATCCTGCTGTGTATTTCCTAGTTCAACAGCCTTCATCAGATGATTAAACCCCTTTTTGCTACTGTTTCCTGGTCTATAACAGAGAAAAATCATGTCTACCTTGAAGTTTATCATGAAGATTGATATTTTTAATGTACTGAGCTTAATAGTTGGTAGTAGGTAGTTAAGCACCTAATAAATGGTAGACGATGCAACGGAATACGTGCAGATTGTGTCAAGGCGCTGGAGGCTCCTTGTGCTACTCAAATCGCAGAGCGAAGATGCACCTGGCATTATGGGATCTAAAGCTGGAGGACACAGGAGAAGGTCCTGCAGGGCCTGCAGTTCAGGTCAGGTCCCCCAAGCCTTCCTCACCTTACGTGGCCCGTGAATGCAACTTCAGTGATTTTCTTGTTCTGAAAGTCTAGGTTGAGTTTGTAAGACTTTTCATCGTTGGAAGACTCATCAGTGACCCTAAGGATGGTGCCAAGGTCAATGTCAAGATCTGGAATTTGCATTTCGCTGGATAAGGTCTTACTCCTTCGGTTATACTTGAACACTAAAGTAGCTTCGGTTGTCTTCTTCCCTGGAAGAGTGTGTAAGAGAAGGAAGAAAGGCGTGCTTAGAAGGGATGTTTAGGAAAAGGGAGGAGAGGAAAAGGCAGGCAAACCATGAGCACTCAGTGCGCTTGCGTGCAGGCGCAGTTCAGGATTTTACTTTCCTTCTTTAATGTTGTGGTTATTGATATAGTCATAAGATTCTCTAGTATTTACTGATGGTCTATCACGCACCAGGCACAGAGGAGTCTATCTTTGTAGAGCTTACCTTTGCGTGGGAGTAATCACAATACGCAAGTCAAATATTCATGTGATATGGCAAGGGATGTTAGGAAGAAAAAATTAATCTAGATATGAGGAGAAAAGATGGGAATGAATTGAAAAGTACTATTTCATCTTTGGTGGTTAGAGAAGCTCCCTCTGCCAAGGTCTCTGGATGGAGACCATCGGAAAAGAGGAGCTGAGCCATGCTGGGTGCTGGGGGTGGGTGCTGGGTGCTGGGTGCTCCAGCTGGAGGGTCAGATGTGCGAAGGTTCTGAGATAAGGCATGGTCAGCATGTTCAAGGAGTGCAGGGCTAATCTTTAAGCATGGTCACAAGCTGACCACTTCTCATGGCTCCTCTGCTGTGACTCTAACCAAAGCATCCTGCCTGGATTGCTACCATAAACTACTCACTAGTTTTTCCTGTCCTTGTCTCCTTGTCCTTGTCCTGTCTCCCTAAGCTCTGTCTTCAACATAAATGTAAATTAACTCATGAAATAAGTGGCTTCTTATTTCATCCACAGGGATAGTCACAGGGTTAGGGTGCTGGGACTTGCTGCTGAAGACTTGTGCCCCAGCCTGGAGGACTCAGGAAGCTCCTACCCTCCCCAGCCAGTGCTACGGCCACTGGAGACCCAAATCTGAATCTGAAGAGCCCCAGAATTGAAAGCCATGCCCAGGACCTGCGTTCCCCACAGCATAGGGCAACAGAGGTAACGACTAACAGGCTGACCTGATTGAGGAAGAGACCAACACCCAGGACATGAATGGCCAATGACCACACCAGAAAAATAGAACAAGCCCAAATAAATAACCGACTGACACACCTCAAAGTCTTAGAAAAACAAAAAGAATTACAAACCCACAGTTTGCACAAGGATGGAAATTATACAGACCAGAGCAAAAATTAATGGAATGGAGACTAAAAACAATATAAAAAATCAATGAATTGAAGAGCTGCTTTGAAAGAATAAATAAAATAGACAAACCATTTCCTTATCTACCAGAAAAGGAAAGAGAGGCACAATTATTGCAATTAGAAGTGAAAAACAATTACAAAGGACATGACTGAAAACCAAAAAATTATGGTAACTGCTTTATGAACTTATATGCCAAACAATGAGAGAACTCAGAAGAAATGGAGAGATTCCTAGATACATATGAATTGCCAAAACAGAACCAAAAAGATTTTAAAATCTTGATCAGTCTGGGCCACAAAGTGAGCCCAAGGCCAGGCTGAACCACATAGTGAGAGCCTGTCTCAGAAAGACAAAAACAAAATCTTGAACAATCCAGTAACAGGTGATGAGACCGAAGCAGTAATAATTTAAAAACTACCAAGAAAAGCCCAGAACCTGACAACTTTATAGCCAGATTCTACAAGAATTTCAAGGATGGCCTAACACTGACATTCTTCAAACTTTTTAATGAAATTGAGAGGAAAGAAGTGCTTCTGAAATCATTCTTGGAAGCTAACATCATCCTGAATAAAAAAAGTAGACAGGGATTTAACCTAAAGAAATATGGACCAATCTCCCTAATGGACATAGATGCAAAAACCCATGACAAGATACTAACAAACACAGTGCAACAAATCATCATGAAGATCAAACGTCATGACCAACTAGGCCTCCTCCCAGGGATGCAGAGGTGGTTCAACACACACAAATCATTAAATGGAACTCATCACATAGAGTCACAAGAACAAAGTCACATGATCATCTCAGTAGATCATCTACTCAGAATATTCTCCCAAACAATCAGATGAAAGAAAGACACAATAGGGACTTGTGTAAGAAAGGATGAAGTCAAAATATTTTATCTGCAGGTGACATAACCCTTTGCTTACAAAACCCAAAATACGCCACTAAAAGACTCCTAGAATTGATAAGCAAATTCACCCAGGTAGCAGGACAGAAAAGAAACACACACAAATCAGTCCGTGAACCAGCACGATGCATGGGCCACCAGTGGACTGGGAACAGCCAGACGCCAGCCCCGTTCAGGGTACGGGCTGGCAAACAAGAAGTACCGATCCCCACCACCCCCACCACCACAAGCCACTGGCTTATCTGGAGAGACACAGGCTGCAATGAGCTCTCTATCGTGTCTTCTCTGTGTATTTTCCTCGGGGTTCCTATCATGAGTGAATGTTGGATTTTGTTGCACTGTGAGATGTAAGGGTCTAGAGTGAATAGTCTGCATATGCATAGACAGTTTTCCCAGCATTATTTGTCATTTCTACTGAGCTATACTCCTTGACCACTTCTAAAATTTATATGGAATCAGAAGAGATCCAGAATAGCAAAAGTGATCCTGGTAATAACAGCAAAGGAGATGACATTACAATTCCAGACTTGAAATTATAAAGTTATAGTTATTAAAACAGCATTCCATGTCTAGGTGTCTTATCAAAAGAGTTAAAACCATCACAGAAAAGGGCTAGATGCATACTCACGGCTGTAGCAATGCAGTTTATAATAGGTTTGCACACACACACACACACACACACACACACACACACACACACACACCCAAGTGCTTCCCTGGCTGATAAGACCATCTTTTCCCCACCATCCTCTTCCTCCTTTGGTCCTGTTTTCTATCCCTGGTCTCCCTGCCTCAGCCATCCGCACCCCGCACCCCTGCAGCCCTGCGTTCTCACAGCCGCAGGCCTTCCCATGCAACACGCTTTCCCCACTCCTCGACTCTTGTCGCCGCCCATCTCTTCCCTGCCTTTACTTCCCCAGGATAATGCTTCTTGTCATTCCCAGTTTCCCTGGCGGTCCTCTCCCAGCATTCCCTGGGTCCCACTAAGCACCCCAGCTCTGCTCCGATGTCCTGACTGTTGACTTGGTTGTCGCTTCTGTGAATTCCAGTGGAAGCAGAGACTGCCCACTGCTCTCTGTCTAGCCCCAGCTCTGAGGCCTGGCACTCACTGGGCACTCCGTCAACACGTATTTTATGTTAACTGTATTCTCCCTGGGGGTCCAGGGACTCAGGGCAGAGCCAGAACAGCCTGGTTCTGGATTCTTACCTTCTGCCTGGATGGCAAACTTCAGTCTGTCCACTAGGGCATTTTCCTCTCTCTGGAGCTCGTAGGTGGCGCCCACAGAATATTGTTCTACGTCTCCGGTGGGCCTCAGCTCCAGCCCATATCTACAAATGTCACAACAGACCACATAATGTTAGAGTCATTTTATTTTCTTTTTTGGTACTGGAATCGGAATCAAGACCTTAAGCTTGCCAGGCAGGCACTGTGCTGCTGAGCTGTATCCTCCCCGGCTCAACATTGGAGCTTTGGATAGTGGTAATAACATCCCCCAAGCAATTCAGTCTTAAGTGCAATAAAAATATAGTCATTATTTTAATGTTCTCTCTCAACCTTAACTAGTAATGAGCTTGATGATTCCCATCAGTTCCCCCAAAAGCAAAAGGCAAGGGATGATCCCGGGATGTCCAGGGCTCCTGGAGACGCACAGCAGTACAGATGAGCACGAGAGGTAGGAGTGGGGGATGGAAGACGAGGAATCCCAAAGCACGGTGCAGGCTGAGCACATGGGCGAACCCTGAGACCCTCAGACCAATGGGTCTGGAAACTCAGAAACTCTCACAGTGAATTAGGATCGAGCTGCAACCTGCTGTAATCTCAAGTGAGGAAAAGAGTGGACGGCCAGAGGACCAGTGCTTTAGACATCTGAAGAATGGTACAAGCCCAGAAGCATGGCGACCCAGGTTGATTCCACAGGTCACTTCTCTCTGCGCCGTCAGGTGACTGTGTGTGGAAGGTGAGCAGATGTTGGCTGGGCACCGAGCACTCCTCACCTGATGTTCCCTGTCAGCGGGTAGTAGGAGGCAGACTCTGTGGCGCTGGCATTGGAGGGGGCGTCGGTGCTGCAGAAGTTGAGGCCAGGGATAAGAGGCCTGCAGTTTACCCAGGACTGCTTGCCGTCAATGAGGGGTGGGAGCACTTCTGTCTTGGTGGTAGAAACCAAATGCAATGTGTTGCTGGTGGAGGAGGAAAGATCTGAGTTACCTTCAAGCCGGGAGTTGAAATGAGCATCACTGCTTCTCCCCGTGGACCTGTCCTCTGCTCCTCCTCTGTACCTCTCTGTGCACACCCACCTCAGATTACTTGATTTATAAGAAATAAATAGCAGAGAGAACATCAGTGACCAACAACCAGTGACCTTTACGTTTTGACACTGCCCTGAGTCTTTATGAACTTTTCTCTCTCTCCCTCGCCATGGTAGGGGCAGTCTTCCCATTTTATAGGGAAACAGAAGCTGGGAGATGGTGGCTAACTGTCCCCGGGACTGCATTAGGTGACAGGAGGCCTCTCTCTGCGTGGCTGGGATTCCTTAGGTTTCCCCACGAGGCCTGTTGTTCTGAAGATCTGGCTGCTGCTGAGCCTCCCGGGAAGTGACCGGGTCATGAGGGTTTAACTTTGCCAGTGGGTGAATCCACTGATGAGATCACTGTCATCACTGGAGGTGGGAGAAACAGGAGTGGGGTTCAGTGGGACCCAGCTGATCACAGAGGTACCACCTGGGGGCTGCACCCTCCCCTGGTCCTTCCCGCTCCGGCTCTTCCCTGCATCCCTCCTGGCTGCCGTGAGATTTGCAGCCTTCCTCCTTCTGTCGTGATGTCCTGCCTCACTTTAGGCCTGAGCCGTGGAACCAGGAGGTCGGGGACGGAAACCTCTGGAACTAGAGCTGAGCAAATTTTGCCTTGCTGAGCTGTCTGTCTTAGCTGTGGCTGCAACCACAGACGGCTGATCAACTCTTAACGCTCTCACTGCTGCTTCTCTTCGCCGGCATTACACGTGCTTAGCTCTCTTCCCGTGCTTGCTCTCTCTGACACACACACACACACACACACACACACACACGTGCAAACACACACCCCCTCTTCCCTTCTAGCCCGTTCCTTTCTCCCTCACGCACAAGAGGTCATTTGCCTTTGTAGGGTTCTTCGGGGGCACTTTCTTCTTGTTCTCTCGGAAATGTTCAGCAGAAGTGTTCTGACTTAGGGTCGGATTAAGATGTCAGAGTCTCTAACTCTGAAAAGATTATGGTGCTCTCTTCCCATACCCTCGGAAATGGTAGGGTACCACACGTGCTTTAAAAAATTAGTAAGTACAATTCTGAGGATGTGTTCCCTTACACGTAATTTTCTTGCCCCCAATTGCTTCCTCATGGTTGGTGGTGCTTTAAAACCAAGCTTTGCCAGTGGGCCGGGCCCCGAGTGCCAGCATGCGCCTGGCCGTGTGGTCCTCTGCCCTCTGGCTCTCGTGGCTTCTCTGACCCCTGCCACGGCCTTCACCTTCCTTGTGCCTCTCGGCTCGCTCCTCCTTCACACCTCTCGCTGCTAACTCTCTGTCTCCCTTTACATGTTTATATTCCCCACATTTCTGCCCTCATTACTCGCCTCTTACTGCAAACCAACCTCACCTCTACCCGCTGATGACCCCCAAATCCGTGTGGGAGCTCACCACTCTTCACTGGGCTCGATCCAGAGGTGAACTGCCACTTAAATAGCTCTACACGGTTGCTTTGTAGGGCATTGAAGGCAGCTCAACTGAGTTTGCCACCTTCCTCTGAGGCATACTCTCTCCTTCTGTGGCCCCTGTTGCAGGGAAGGGCAGCGCGTCCTGTGCCCTCCCTTTTTCCCTGTCCCCAGATGCAGACAATCGCCAGGCACCCACGATTGTGCCTCTCGCAGTTTATAGCGGCCGCTCCGCCCTCTCCCCGCCAGTGTGGGCATCATCACTTCTCACCCACGTTTCTGTGCAGTGCCCACCTGGTCTCCCCTTGCTTCCTCTCCGCCCTTTCCTGCTTCCAGCCCGCCCAGCTCCTCTCAGACAGCAGAACATTTTATTATGCTTCCCGTTCCAGCCTCTCTGCCTTCAGAAGGATCCGAATCCCTGTGGGTGGCTTTCCAGGCTGGGCCTGGTCTGAATTGGGCCACCTCTCCTGGCCATCTCTCGTTTAAACTCCTGGCACCCTTTACTCGACTTCTCCCGCTTCCTTGAGCAGTTTCTTTTTGCTTCATGCATGCTTTTCCCTCTGCCTGGGATGCTCGTTCCCTTCTCTTCTGCTTGGATAAGGGAACAGCCCTCTATAGCGGATCAAGTGTCGCGTTTTGGAAACTGTTTCCCAGGACCCACAGGCTACGCGGAACAGAGCTTCACGCACCCTTGTGGCTCCTCCCACCCAGCCTTCCCTTCACGGCTACCATGTATGTCCCTTTTCTCGCCAGCAAATTTAACCTCTGCAAAGCCAGGGACCTCGTGCATCTCACTCAATATGCTGGGCTCCTGGTGGACAGACACTGTTCCTGGTGGACAGACACTGTCCCTGAATGAGCAAACGGGAGCATCCGAAACAGAGAGACTTAGGTGAATCAAGGGTGGAGATTATCATTGAAAAAGGACCTCTCCATATGAGGCTGGGCCCCCAAATCATGAGACTGAGAGTTTCATGCTTTATCCACTGAACCGTTTACCACAGAAATGCGTACGTTGTGTGGGTTTTTTTTTCTTTTAGGAGAGATTGTTCATTCTTAAAAAAAAAAACCCTACAACGTAGTAATAATTGACTAGGTGTTAATTAAGCTTCAATGCAAAATGATATAGGCTAATTAAATAATGTTCTGCCAATTAAGCAATGTGTGTAAAATAGAAGAAAAAGTAATTATTTAGTGGGTCTGAGTCTGGGTTAAAAATAAGGTAACCAGGACCTCCTCTCTGTCCTCAGAGAACCTGAGTTATCTCAGTGGGCTCTCTGTCCTGGCCAGATTCTGCAGATGCATTCGCAGCTCTCTTTTAAACTGACCGGGAACTCCTGGCTGAAAGTATTACCTGATGCTGAACAGCTTGATGGGCCTCTTTGGAGACACAACGATGAACCTCAGCTCCCCAGCTTTCAAGGCCACATGGGCCTCCAGGCTGGACCCACAGAAGACGTTGGTATTCATTCGGACCCCACTCCGTGCGAAATCTGGCATGATGATGCCTATACTTGTCACAAACTCCACGGACACGGAGGGCCTCATCACCAGGTCAGTTTGCATCTGTAGGCCAGAAAATAACCCCTTACATTGTGTTGCCTATTTCAGTCTTTGGTGGTCAGATCGGCCATGCTTTCCTATCTTACAATGCAAATGTCTGGATAACTCGTATCTCAGGAACATCATTGTAAGTTATTGGGAGGAAAAAAAGCCAAATTCCCATTTCTCCAGAGCTAGACTCAACAGGACTCGGAAGCGCCTCAGTCAGCTGGAAGCATAACCAGATACAAAGTGACAGAAGTGGGCGCGGTTGGCAGATCAGCTGAGGTCTTGTTTCCCGGCCGTGCCCAGCTGGAGGTGGAGAGCTGGAGCATGCTGGTGGGATGCTAACCCTTTTATAAGAATTAGCAATGATGATACCCTTTTTCTGGCACTAGAAGCCCACTTCAGAAATGCGTACAAGGAACTCACTCTGGAGGGAGAGTGACAACCACTGATTTGTCTGCAATGGATGCAAACGGTGTCTTACTTTGGCCATTTCCAGTTTTACTCCAGCTTTGGTCCCCAGGGTGGTGACTCCAGATGAGGATACTTGCAGCTGTAACCCCATTCCCGTGGGGAGCTCGAAGGTATTGTCCATGAAGATGTAGTAAAGGAACAAGTCATTCCTCCAGCCTTCCCTAAGGGCCTCTCCAATCTGCAGACCCAAAGGGGAGACCCGCTTAGAGTCAGCCTCGTTCAAGGACAACTCCCAGACTTAGACGGTGTCTTGTCTTTATCCAGAAAGGAGAGAATTAGCATATTCCAGTTACCTGAATGGTTTGGTAAATCAGTTAACTAATGCTGATTTCAATACACTGGGATATAAGAAATCACTCTGGATTGAATATAGTAGAATCCTTTTCAACTGGTGATTCAGAAGGCATTTGGAACACTGTCGGACCTCAGAGCTTTTTGAAATTTAAGTACCATGTACAGCATGGCTGAATTCCTATTGTGTTGAGTCTGAATGTAAACAAGAGTTTACTTGAAGTATATAATTTTATGGTAAAATCAATCTTTGAAACCAAGAGCTACTGAAATGATGTAAATAGTCATATGGATTGGCTTTTTTTTAAAAAAAATAACATTTCCATAAAGTAACTTGAGATTTGTTTTCTCAAAGTCAACATCATTAGTTATCTTATCATAGGGAGCATGTTTCCGTATTTCTCCCTTGTTTGTAAATTATAATAACAAAGTTATAACACATATTTTGGTAGTAGACTACAGTTTGACAATTACTTTCCTTCATAATCATCATTTTATTTCAATATTAAAAGGAGCCTTCATCATAGGTAGTGGAAGAAACACTTAACATTGTTTTCTAGGTCAAATGAAAGCTATTAAACTAGCTACCATTATGGATTGCTTCATTTCTTGTGAGTCAAGAATCATTTTCATTGGAGTTTGAGACAAATCAGTGTCTCTGAAGGAATTCAAGCACCTTTTCTGACCAGCATGACTAGACCTGAAAAGAACCTGGGCAGTCTAAGAAGAGGAGCAGCCAACTACAGGCCCACGATGGGGCCTCGGTCACTCACCATCTGGGGGATTCCCCGCAGAGCGTGCACCCCACTCAGCAGCAGCCTCCCCAGGAGCCGAAGATCTTGAAGCCTGAAAAAGCTAAGCTCTTTGCCCAGGATACGGAGGTAAGCTCGGGCTTCTGGGAGGTCTCTTGATTTCAAATCTTTAATCAGCTTGTCGACGATGGGTATGATTCCATTTATCATGTCCTGGGATTCGAGTAATAAAATGTCCCGTGAGCTGTTTGCTCTAACACCTTTAGATTCCTGAGGTGGGGTCTGTCTACTGCAGCTATGATAGAAACATCTGAGGTGGGGGGAAGAGCAGGCACAAAGATCAAGCTTCCTTCCACCTTTCACTGAAAGAGAATTTGTCTAAGCAGAGATGAAAGAAACCTGTCTTATCAGGGGCAATAGCGCTTTCAAAGTTCCCCTTAGTGTGGAAAAAATGTAGGAATAGTAAGGTGAAATCCATCCTCCAGGATGCCTGTATCCCCAGAATTCCTCAAGACCAGAAAACACGTGGCACTCCTCCCCTACTCAGCCCTCTCTCCTTAAATTGGAGGTTTCTTGAAAATATGTAACTGCTACATAAATCAGCTACAAGCTTGGGAAAAAAATCTGTTTTGCTTAGAAACGTGAAGAACCCGATACACTGATCCAATGTATTGAAAAAGAGATCAACAGACCCTAAACAGCTCAAAGATCCTCAGTTTTAAGTAGAGGCCAGGAAGGCAGCAGGGAGGGGGGACCACTAGTGACCCCAACAGCAAGTTACTGTGGTGCTTCCCAACTTTGAAGGCGGACCCGAGTCCCCTGGGGTCTAATCAAAGTGCGGGTTCGGATTCGGTAGGTCCTGTGTGGGCCTGGTGACCTGCATTCCTAAGAGGCACTCATACAGCTGATCACCAGACCACACTTTGGGCACCAAAAAACTAAGGAATAAAAAGCTCTAGATTATAGCATCTCGTCTCTGCTCCTTGGGGGGTTCCATTGCTAGGTTCACAGTGGACTTGGGGCCATCAGCTAATACACTGATGTGAATGAGAGCTAAAGAGAGAGGTTAAGAATGACAAAAATACCAATTTAAACTCATGATAGTATCTGCTTATCGAAAAATCAGTCCCTGTGTTGGGTACTCTGCCTAGTATTTTATACATTATTCCATGTAGTCTTTAAATAGCCTTGGAAGGTATGGGTTATCACTGGTACTCGGGGATCCAGGAACAGGTACAAATATCAGGCAGCTTGTCTGCGAGCACACAACTTGTAGCCAATGAGGTTAGAATTCAAAACCATTCCCAGACTTGACACTCAAATCATTTCCCTGAAGTGCCCCTAGCAAATCTGGGTCCTGGGTACCCTGAGTTCCAGGGAAGCCCATGACTGCGGAGAACTCTGGCTCTCGTGCCCACAGGACTGCTTAATATACAGATACAGCCATCATTTCAGGTAGGCAGCACTTCGATGGCTTCTAGGCATAGAAAAGAATTCTTTTTCACCGGGACCCACAGCCTTCCTTAACAAATACATACCTGCTCGTGTTTGTCATCTTTGGTATAGCCAAAGTGGTCCACCAAGACCTTGGAGACGCCATCAGGGACCTGACCATTGACCCAGTACAAAGCCTTGCTGACGCTGTCTGGGAAAAATCCTTGCTTCCCGAAAAGAGCTTCTAGCGTTGGCTCGAAGCCTTTTCCTTCTAAGCCAATCTGAAGAAGAGAATCAGGCAAGAATAAGCCACTGGGTTTTTGGTTGTTGTATATGAATCTCCCGTTCCCATGCATTTAGTTAAACAAGCCCTTGGGAAACACTATAGGAAAGAGCTGAGCTTAGCATGCTTCGCATGACCCCTAGTGGAGAGAGAGGAAGCGAGGAGAGAAGACCTCAAAGCTACAGCAGGAGCTGCCTGATGATTCCAGCTTTCTCCAGGAGGAATCGTGCTCTCTTGACTTTCTGTTTTGGTTTTGTTTTTAGATAGGGGTCTCCTTACATTGCACAGGCTTGTCTCAGCCTCCTGAGTCCTGAAGCTACAGTCACACGCCACGTAGTAGGGGCCACCCAGTGGGTGCTTCCTTGACTGTTTATAGTGTTGTTCGGAAAGGACCAAGAGCTCCATACTCCGGCCTCACACGTACCTCAAAGAGGTCAGCTGAAGCGAATCCGAAGGCAGTCAGGGTTGTTTTCAGCATGCTTTCTTTCGGGAGATAATTATTTGGATCAAATATAAGATTCCCTTCAATTTTGGCCGAGACTGGGTCAAGTGAAGGAAGAGAAACAGATTTGGAAAATTGATAGTTCCGGGAAAATTTGCTGAAGTCCATGATTGTTGGAAGTTGGGAATCCTTCAAAGCTTCTTTCACTAAGGCTTTCAGACTGGATGAAAAGAGGAATGAATACTATTTGAGCCAAAACACACTGTTATTCATCGTCTCTCATGTTCCAAATAAGTACGAATTTCCAATCACTCTGAGACACATGGGATTCGTTTGACCCCAAGACTTTGGTTCAGAGTCTGCTTCATATTCACAAGTCTTTGCTTGGGAAGAGAACACAGCCCTTTGGGCACTTCCTGTACAGAATGGAAGCCTGGAATCCCATCCCAGGCCCTCAGCGGCAGATGGGGGAAATTATGCCTACTTACCCTCCAATATACAGCTCTTCTGAGCTCAAGATGTTGGCAATGTGAGAAACCACAAAGTTCTTCACTTGCTCGTTCTCCTCTCGTGGGAGAAGCTGGATGAGTCTGCCGATGTCAGACTGGGAAGGCTTTTTCATCAGCGTGAGGTAGGCGGCCAGTCGCTTGTCCCCTGGAGAGGCGCTGTCCACGAAGGTCTGGAGAAGGAGCTGCTGGGCCTAGGGCCAAAAGAGCAGGCCGTTACCCCTCTTCCTCAGTGAGCACCCAGAACGCGCCCGGCCCGCCGGCTCTTCCTGGTGGTAAATCAGCGCTACTTTGAGAAACCCAGAAGACCTCCTTGGAATATCTGCTGAAGTCAATTGCGCTAAAATACACAAATTACCATCAAGCTGTGCCACTAAGTGAAGATAAAGTTGTTCCAACCTATTGTGTGTGGGGTTTGTGCTAACAAGTAAAGCAGTTTCCAAAGCTCTGGGGTTCTGCCAACTAAAGTAGGCGGAGTTTCACTATCCTAGTTTCGTGACACTGGGGAAAATCAAGCATGCTTTCCCAGATCATAGTGCTGGTTAATGTGGTGGCGGAAACCTCATGCCCTGCATGGCGAGCAGCAGCAGGGTTGATAATGTCTCTCATGCCCGAGCGATGCGAGACAGGCGAGCAAGGGACTTGGTATTTGTCATTAGAAGACATTAGAACAAAGTCAGTCAGAGGATGAATTTTAGATCTCACACGTCCCCAAACCCGGGTCACTTACCTCGTCTCCAAGTTGCATCTTCCGCAGGGCCTGGATAGCAGCTTTCTGAATCAGCATGGATGGTTTTGAGCTTCCGATACATCTCAGAATGGAAGACTTGATGGTTGGTGTTATGTTGTCCAAGGTTCTACCCATATTTCCGATGACCTGCATTGAAGAAACAGAACCCATTACAATGAAGGAGAAGGAAGGGGCATCCAGGGCGAACATTTCTGCAATGATGCATGTTGTACAAAAGACGGAAGGTACCCTCAGAATCAAGTAGGTGTGTTCCTCATCCCCAGCGCATTCATCCTGGATCTGCTCCTGAAGGTAATTAGCAATGTCCCGCAGGTCCTGGTTTGGTGTACGAGTTGTCTCAAAATAGCTATGGAATAAAAGAGGAGCATTAGCACTTAGCATGCATACTCAGGCTTCCCTTAAAGTCCAAACTTAGGTATGCTGGCTTCTTAGTCAGCATTTCCCCCCGCCCTCAGAACCACCAGCAGAGCAAGAGTAACCACCAGGGATTCAAGGCGGAGGCAGGCCACTGTGCATGACATCGATGTCTTTTTTTCCTGGTCCCAGGAGGAGCACTCCTGGGGAGACTTACTTGTTGACCATGTGGCTCAGCGCGTACAGGGTGGCCCGGCTCAGCTGCTCCTTGGCTATGTTGAAGGTCTCGCGCAGCATCTGTGCTGAGGGGTCTGGGATCAGGGCCACCAGGTAGGTTACAACGTCTATCAGAAGTGGGTGAGCTTTCTCACTTCTTAGCCACTGAAGGACGTGGGTGTAGCACTGGGGCTGGCCACACTGAATCAAGGCTTGCAAAGTGATGGGGCTGGGGAGAGAGGACAGAGAGACATAGAGAGCATCTCTGAGGCACATGCGTGTTTGCCCCAGCTGTGCTTGTGTCCAAGAGCGCCTCCTGGCATCCTTTCACAGTCCCAACTATTTTTCAAAATGCAACTCAGAGGCTAAGAATCATGATGGTTTCCCTTCCAGCTAGGGAAGGCTAAAGGAACCCTGGACCTGAAGCCGAAGGAGCACTGTGGTTGCCATCTGTGGGTCAAGACATGTCTGGCCAAAACTGGTGAGGTCCTTTCCTGCCTGTGGTTCCTCTGTGACCTTCACTGCATTTAGATTTGGTGCCTAGAGATGACATGATTTTGTTTGCCTGAGTTCTTTCTCCACCCAGCCTGTACACATGCAGAGAGTGCAAAGCTCTTTGCGTCTTAAACTTCTCAGGGTACCCACAATAGAACTAGGAATTACAACACGCCCGTCAAATACTTGTCTGGCTACAATGCAGTCTGTGTGTGAACACATGTGCACGTGTGTGTGTATGTGAGTGTGTGTATGTCTCTGCCCATGCAACACTAAGCACCTCAGCTGATATTTGTCTACCCAGAAGATATCACAAAGAATTCACTAATTAACTGCAAAGTTCTGCCAGCTTCTTGGGGGTATCTAGGAGCCTGAGCCGAGACCCTCAAAGTCCTACCTGGATACCTCGATCAGCCGTGGCAGCAGCGACGTGATGTCCTCGCTGCTGAGGCCTCTCAGGTTGGTGACCAGCTTGCTGAAGAGATTTGCTCTCTGCACCTGCGGCTCAAAGCCTGTTAGTTTTTTCAGTTCCTGGAGGGTCTTCAAAACAGCTTCGGCCTGCTTTGGCAGGAACGTGGATTTGGTGTTCTCAAAGGCCAACCCCACCTTCAGGGCACCTGGAGGGAGCAAAGTGTCAGAGGGACACAGCACTGCTTCCTCCTGCTGTGTCTTTGTGGAAGGGGAAGGAAGCCAGGGAGGCACCACAGTGGGCAAAAGAGAAGAAACCAGCCATACTAGGCGTTTGGCTTTTTAAAACGCGAGTCATTGTAGTGACTGAGGGCTGGAATCCTCTGAGGTAGATCAAAGGCCTGGAGAAAAGTAATGCTCTTTGGAAGTTGTCTTCCAGGAACTCTCCGGGATCCAGTGCAAGCTGCTCGGAATCTGGTGTCGGATCACCCTCTGCTGAGACCCTCTAGAGGAGGCTCTGCTGCCAGTACGGCAGCTCAGTGGTCTCCTGAGGGAACCTTCTAGCAGCTTACTGGGTGGGGTGACCTCTCTGCAGCCCCTCCACCCTTCTCTGACCTGTGCCAGGGGGAGGATGAGAGCCAGCATGGAGAGGGGCACTGAGCAACCCCCTGCCTCCCTCAGACCGGGCCCCCTCTGCCCTCCCGGTGAGATTCCAGCCACTGAGCTACCCTTGTGTCATCTCCTGCCACACAGAACAGGTGTAAGACCTTGGCTTCTGCTGCCTGACACCACAGGAGAACAATGAAGTCTCAGGACAAAGAGTTTTGACAGATTAAATGCAATCTGATTCGGGGTGAAAATCACTGGAGTCCCTTTTAGCTCTAAAGACCAGTTCTTGGAATCACTGCTGGCCTGTGCCTGGGGTCCTTTCCCACTGCACGCCTCCTCCAGGAGGGCCCTCAGTCCTGTCACTGGTCATATGAGCTTACCAATTCTACCACAGGTGCCATGGTAGACTTCGGGTTCCAAGTTTTACCTGTGCAAACCTAAGTAGCACTCTCCCTGTGGCACTGGAAAATAAACACGCTTTCTCCCTGGTGGTAGCTCAGTGGACGGAATGTCACGGTTCATTTCTCTCAGTGGTCAGTGGGCATTTGACAGTGTGCAGATGCCAGTTAGGCCACGACTGGTGCCTCCCAAGCTGCATTTTCTAGCTTGGACATGAAGTCTCACCTTCACCAAAGAATCGACTGTTGATCTTAGGTGTGTCTTCGAGTTTCAAAGTCTGTGTAACCTGGGTCATCATCCCGTACTTATTCCTGGGGACAAAGGAAGCACACGTGTCACAGATGGACAGACCCCCGGAACACACTGTTCTGCTCATGGTGAAATTCCCCATCTCTGTCCTACCCACATCATGGCCACTTTCCAAAGAACAGTTAAACTGAGCCAGGCTCAATCCGAAGAGGATAGCCATAAACTCCTATCAGAAAGATAAATACTCTGTATACCTTAGGTCAGTGTAGAGTGAGGGTTGAGATGAACAGATACCGTGCCTCCGTGTCTCCCAAAGCACAGTGCCAAATGCAGCAGGCATCCAATAAATATTGGGTAAGTGTCAGTTTTCAACGTGGATTTGAGTGGGGAAATCACCACTCAAATTCTTCCATGAAACTTTCTGACCAGGGCACCTGTGATGACCCCTGCTTTCTGGATCCACGGCCCTTCATGTCTGGGTCTCAAATTGTTTCAAGCGCCGCTCTGTACCCCCTGTGCCCACTCCCAGGTACAGCCTAGCCCGAGATGGGGCTCTGGTGAAGCATCAGCCCAGAGTGAGGTGGGGAACAGTGAGGTGGGGGACGGCGGGCGTCCTACTTGTAGGAGAAAGGCAGGAACAGGTGCTGCTCCCTGCAGACGGCTTCTGACACGTGCTTCCTCTTGGGGTCCAGGGTGTACTGGCAGGACTGGCTGCTGCTGACCAGGGTGGACAGGGGGCGGGCCTGTGGATGGCAGGAGAAAAGCGTTTTGGTGAGACCCGCTGAGGCTTGAGCCCAGGGCTGCTGTCACCGGGATTTGCCTCCTGGATAGCAGGGGATGGGACTCCTGCACTGAAGAAGAGACCTGGACGCGTAACGGTCAGTGAAGGGAACGAGGCAAGTGAGCACGTGCGACTGCAGACCCTTTTGTTGCCCTGTACGGACACCTCGTGTCCTGCCTGCACCCCCCAGTACACGCTGTGGCACACGCTGTGCTGCTTAGGGTTCCTTTGCCTAGAAGCTCATGCTTTCACCTTCCTCCCGCATACGCTTCCTGTGTCTGCTTCAGGTTCACACCTGCCACCCCCAAGACTTTGCTAGTACAGTGTCTGACTAATGCTTTATCCTAGGTCAGGCACAGACCTGAGGCAGCCTGTGGTCACGTTCCCGAAGGAGTTACCACGGCCAAGCAAACACAGGTGGTACAGTTGCCGGCGACGCCAGGCAACAGCAGAGAAGGTTATATTACTGAGGGGGTGGCCTGGTCAGGAGGCCGAAGGCCTGGCCTGGTCAGGGTCATACTCGGGGTGGAAGGACATGAATTTGGGACATTCTCAGCTGCGACATTTCACGGGATGTGAGAAAGGAGCAAACAGCTTTGGGGACTGCCTAGGGGGCCAGATGCTTGGTACAATCAGCCTTTTGACAGGAAGGGACAGTGGGTGGATTGTCTTCTCAGGGATGGGCGGTCAAGTCACCGCAGATGGTTTGGTGCTCTGACAGAGGACAAGAAGGCTGCCCTGGGTGGGCCGCCATTGGGAACCTGACTGCAGGCCTGACATAGTTAACGGTTACCCATGGTCTTGGTCCTCCTTCTCATGTCCTGCCCAGGACCTCACCCGTGGTCTGTGTAAGATCCAGGCTGGGCAGACTGTCCTTGGAGTCCTTGCTCACTAGGCCATGGCAGAATTTTCATGAGGCCGCGGCCATGCGCACAGCGATGTGACAAGAGACTCACCAGGCCTCTGATGAGGGCCAGGGGGCTGGCGCCGGTGCTGCTGGGCTGGAAGCCGGTGCACTCCTGCAGGTTTCTGTCTGTGGACATCTCTGTGGCCACGTTTCCCTTCCTGGTCTTCACCACAACATGTGTGGAGCAGTTTCCGTACACCGTGTCCTGTGGGGGCCGAAGACCAAGTCAAGACACTGGACACGAGAAAACACCCATGAGATGCTGGCGAGAAGCTGGGCAAGAAGCCCGAGGGCCACAGCACGGGAGAGTGAACTCAGGAGGGCTTGGGTTCCTTCAGGCGGAGGTGGCATCGTGAGGCCCTGCCAGCCCCAGAGCCGCTCTGCCTCCAGCCACAGAGCAGGGCAGTACGGGCCCCACAGCACCCATAGCGGTGAGGTCAGTTGGCTCCATGGCTGAGCTGGAAATCTGTGAAGTGGCCAGCAACTTATCTCAGCCTTTCTTGGTACCCAGGATACACACCAGCTTTATTGTGCTATAATTTACGAATAGGAGGGGAAAAATCAAACCAAAGCAGGCAGAGTGGTTGATTCCCCAGCAACTGCATTAACACTAAACCAAGAGCAAAGTCAAAGACGCGTAACAGGAAATAGGGAGATGGGAAGGGACCGAGAGAGGGAGAGCGGGAGGCGACAAGCTAGGCCAGGAGGTCTCCCCGCCGGCCAGGGGATCCTTGTGTGCTAATAAAAAATAAAAACTGTTTAACAAAAAGAAAAAATGAGACCCAGTGGCTCGGCCTCCCCAGGCAGCGAGGCCAGGGCAGGAGTGGGTGGGGTCGGAGTTTCCCAGCAGGGAGCCCGCGATGGCCCCCCCCACACCCAGGGCACCGCAGTCCTGCCCCAAGGGGTGGGTAGAGGGTCGCGGCATCCCTCTTCTAAATTCTCACCAGAAACAGCTCTTGCGTGTCCTCTTCCGTCTCCGGGGGAGCCAGGAGAGCAGACACGATGCCCCTCTTGATGTTCAGGATGTGTTTGGGTTCCTCCTCCTCTGGGTAAAGGAAGACTCGCTTCCCCTCGGGGAAGGCCAGCCGGAGTTCGTGCCTGTGGCAGAGAGACAGCGGGTTATGGGGAGCCCTTCCCTCTCCGCTGCGGGCCTGTGGGGGGAAGCGGGAGGCGGGCGGACCCCCCTCAAGGTCACCCCTTTAACTTCATTTTAAATACATCTGCACATGTTTTCAAAAGGTCTGCACGTGGAGGGCGAGTCGGGCACGTTTAGGTCCCCTTCTGTTTTGCTTGGCTCCTGGGAGCCACCCTCACTGCCGTGGACACGGGTGGAGACGGCTCGGTCCCCCCACGGTCACGGCCTCCGTGTGTGCACGCGGGCCACATTCAAAGATTTTTGTCAGCGCCTGTTCTATTCACATGGCGTTTTTCTTCATTTTGTTTCTCCCATTTATGAAAACCCCAAGTCGTTTGCTACAGCTCTTCCTAAATGTGTGTGCCTCTCCCGCTGTGGTTAGCATAGTTTATGCAACACTGTCTCCTAGGCGTTTACACTCTCTCGGAACCCCTACTGCCCCATAAACAATACCGAAACCAGCATCTCCCTGTCCTGCTGCTTTTACATTCCGGGGCTGCAGTCCTGGAGGCCGGGGCTGCTTTTCCAGAGGATCTAAGCGCTTCCAGCCAGAGCACACAGGGCCCGGGCACTGGGCTCCCGCAGCAGCCACGGAATCCACTGGTCCTCTGCTGGCTGGCCACACGGGTCATGGCTGCTCTCCATCCCGTCCCTCAGTCTCAGGGGTGTAAGGTATCCTCTCCTGACATCGACCTATGAGTGCATTTCCTGACCGCTCGGGGATCTGAGCTTCTCCTGGGGCATTAGTTAGACCTTGTGTACGGCCCAGGACAGTCCCACGGGGAGAGGACCTGCTTCAAAATGGAGACGCTCGGGGACGGAGCCTCTCGATGTGGCCAAAGGACCACATATCTGCACGCACACACAGGGCTTCCTAACTTTGAACTGGGATTGGGGGGCTGGTGTTGAGAACACTTTGTGGCTGCTGCAACGTGAGCACTGACACGCCAGGAAAAGTGCCAGCTGTGAAAAACCGCACTGATTCTGGGGCACAGTGGCTGTGTGCTGGCCCAGGGCAGGAGAACAGTTCGGGCTGGGGCTGCCCCTGCCCTGCCCTGCACAGACCCTGTGACCCTGGGAGCTGGCCACGGCAGCACCACCAGGGGCCACGTCAAACACCCCGGGCTCCATCCAGCTTCTGTGATTCTTCAGCAGAAAAACACATGTGTTTAATCAGAAGACCTCAGGCTTATTATCCTCAGGAGTTTAAAAGCATGGGATCTTTTAGAGGCACATTTAAATGATAACTAAGGGAACTTAACCAGGGGAGGAAAAATAGTGCTTCCTTCCTTCTGGTGCTTAGGAAGTCTCTGCAGTTCCCTTATCCACGTGGAGACAGAGCAGGAATGCTTGGACCCTGGAGCCTGGCTAACAGGAGCGCACGTTCGCACCTCCACGCACACCCACGGGTGTCCCCACAGCCCGGGGCACACACGCCCATGCCTTACCTGGACATGGCAGCTGCAAAATCCTCCGAGTTCTTGGTCTTCTTCAGCAGAGCCTTGCCCTCAAGGTTTAAGCCGTGTAACTCTTTCAGGGTGCACTGGCTGGTCTTCAGGACGAAGCTGCAGAGCTGGGGAACCTCCAGCTCAACCTGAGGACGGAGGGAACAGCACATTGAGGTTCCCATCAGGGACAGGGCCAGCCCCACTGCTGGGGCTGGAGGGAGGTGCTTCTGGGGAGTATGGTTCTGTGCCCACATCAATGTGCTCCAAGCACCCCTTGTGGGTCTCGGGGCATCACCTGAGGTTTTGGTCTTTTCCTCCTCCTGGGGTGATATGTTTATTAGATGAGGACTCCTTAATTATACCATCTAAGGTACAGAGAGGAGACTGTCATGTATCAAATAATGGGACCCCTAAAATTTACTGCAGAGAGCCTTGGGGACATCAAGAGTTGGCATTGTATAGAGACCTTGGTGACCTTAGCAGAGAGGTGGAGGAGGGGGGAGAGTTAACAGAAAAAAGAAGAGATAGCATCATTGTTGCTACTGCCGGTGTCTCCTCCTCACTGTCACCCCAAAACCTGCTTGAATCTATGAGTCTATTGAGAACTCTTCGGATAGCAGGAGTTAAAACAAAGGATGCCTGGATGTTATTCAAAGAACTTCCGGCCACAGTGGAAATGCTGTGTATCTGCCCTGCCTAACTTAGCTCAGGCGGTGAACGCCTGCCTTAGGTGACAGGAAGCCCAGAGCCGCGGCATCTCAACTTCTCTTCCCTGCATGGACCTCAGCAGTGGCCTTCAATCCACTCCACAGCTGTGTGGCCAGGAGTACAACCAGTCTCAATGGGAGGAAAGTTGTATGAAGAGCAAACTGCATATTTTCAGCGAGAGATTCTGTCTGCCTTGGGTCACACACACTGCTTTCCGGAGCTGCCCAGCTCTTAGCTCATCTGCTGGGCCGTGATCTAGTTCTACATCAGACTGCACGGGAGGGCTGGGCCACGCCCTGCAATTCCATTTTAGGAGCTAATGAGAAAATCAGCAGGGCTGCTAAGGTGTCTAAGGCTGGCTGCTGCTCAGCAGGGGGGCTGCCCACCTGTGGAGGGCAGGGACAGGGTCCGGGCTCCAGGTTCCTCCGGCCCCGCCCTTCTTACCTTGCAGTTAATCTTGGTGATACTTCTGGAATCAGCCTTCCCGGGGATGCCACTGGAGCTCTCTGCCTCATAGCTGTATACATATTTCCGGAGGTGCTTGAATCGAGTTGCCTCTTCTACAACGAGAAGCAAGTCAGCCACGTAGGAGGAGTGACTCTCTCCTAAGACAGTCAGCTCTGAGCTGACAGGGGAAGTGGCGTGATAATAAAAAATGATAATTGAGTTTAAATTATTTTTAATTGACTTTACATCACATTTGATGTTCCCTTATAGATTTAACTTCTCCACTATGTTTTACGGAGACTGATGTTTAGTTAGGATTTCTTAGCTATGTCACCTGAAGTACAGAGAGGAGGTTTTCACATATCCAATAAGGGGACTCCCCAAAACCTACTGAACAAACCCTTTGAACAGAAAGGGTTGACATTAGTAAGGGGTAGTGCTATTTCTAATCCTTTCTCAGCTTTACAGTACCATAATTCTACTCTGATTCTATTGGAGGCAACGTTCATTAAGCACTAAGGATATCTGGTTGATTTGAAAAACCCTTAAGGAATTTCCGGAGGATTCTAGTCTGCTTGAGAGGAATTTTGTGAACAGTATGAGAAAAATAACATTTAGGTCACGAGCTCGATGTAGTGATGCCAGATGGCCACGAGATGGCAGGGCTGCTCCATCAGAGGCCTTCCTGGTCCTCCTGCATCCCAGCCGGTTCCTCTGACCCCTGGGTCAGGTAAACACCGGGCTGTGGGGGTCTGAATTTGTGCTCAAAGGTTAAAGTCAGCATTTCCTCATCTGCACAAACTTTGAAGCAATGATTAGTCACTGATAAACAGGACACTTTATCTCGAAAGTGTCCACAGTCTAACGCGGTGGACAGTCCTCTTCTCCCTGCCCCCGCAAGCCCATCTTTTAGAACAGGACAGGCAGATGGTCCTGAGAGCCCTGCCATGGGGCGGGCAGAGGCACAGCAATCCGAGTCTTGCCACCGTGCCACACAAGTGAGGGGCCCTGGTGACCAGAAGGACCAGCTGGAGCGGGGCTGGGCCCTCCACACCCCGGGGAGGGATGCTTACTTGGACAGCTTGGGTTGACATTTTCTGGCAGTTTGTCTTCTGCAACAGAAAGAGAAAGAAAATGGCATCTTCCCATGTCCCCTCCCTGGGCACAGGGCTTGGGGGAAGGACTCTGGCATGGGCAAAGCAGTTCTGGAAGACCCCACCCCCACCCCAGCGCCTCCAGCTTGGCCTGGCTGTGTGTGGGCCCTGGGACCCTGTGGCGCCCTCCCTCTGCCCAGGCCTCCTCTCCTCATCCCAGCCCCTACACTCACCAGCCTGGGCACCCGCGTTTGGGAGCAGCAGCAGCAGCAGCAGCGGCAGCAGCAGCTCGGGCCTCGGTGGGCCCATGCCGGCTGCGGGGTGGTGCAGGTCCTGTCAGCTGCCCAGCTGGCTCCGTGGGCTCCCCGGGACACACAGCGGGCTGGGCTCTGGGCAGGTGCGGCGAGAATGCCTGTCCCGTACCAGCGCCCCATTTATAGGAGGCCCTGGCTTAAGGAGAGTTGCAAAAGGTCCAAAGGGCAGGTCCCCAGCCCGCCCTGGCCTGTTTGCTTTTCCGCACACGCTTGCCTCCCGGCCCAGGAGGGATCCTCGAAGCCGCAGCTGCCCCGGGCCTGGCCTTGCCCACTGGCGTCTTGGACAGTGGGCCCTGGGCGGAGGGCTTAGGACCCTGGCCTTACCCTGCCCTGGGTGCCTGCAGGAGATGAACGCACCCAGCGGCAAAGCCTGCCTCCTCCTGCTCTGCCCGGGGAGGCCTTGGAGAGCCAGGCCTCGGCTTCCTGGTTGGGACATTTTTCTACACTATTTCCCATTTTGGTGGACGGTGTGTTTGTGTGGATGGCCCAAACCTGACCAGTACTTCTGGCTTTGGGGAGAGAAGAAAGCAAGGGGAATGGGGAGGCATGGTAAGTGACAGCGTGGCCCTGGTGGGATGGACAGCTGACCTGAGTCCAGGTGACAAAGTTTTCAAAAGCCTAGCCAAGAGCGTGCTAAGGAGAAGATGCGCCCCCAGGCCCACCTGGGCAGGGCATCCTGGAGAGCCTCGGACAGGGGTTCCCCTGTGCACGACACCCAGAGGTCTCCTGGGGTAGGGGCACTCCAACAAAGGAGTGTAGGGAGAGGGCTGGACCCAGCACATCCCCAGCAACGGCCCAGAACCTTCGAGCCAATCTTCTCCTCCTCTTCCGGGCACTGCCCAGGCCCTCAGGAGGGTTTTCCCAGCACCCTGTACTTCCGCTGGGAAATCACGCCTTGGACACCTCTCTGCAGCCCCAACTGGGAGCCGGGCCTGTCCGGAGAGGCTCTCGGCCGGCTGGTACTGTGATGGGGGTGACTGTCTGAACCTGGCCGGGTGGGAAACGAGAGGCACGCGGCATGCAGGGAGCGTTCCACCCTGGGGGCTCGGCCGCTGGGGCGCACAGCAAGGCGTGAGGGTGGCAGGTGTCCCGGAGGCTGCATCGGAGTGCGGGTGGGGGAGAACCCTGGAAGCACTGCTGGGGAAGCCCCTGTGTTGGTTGCAATGTGTTCATTTTGTTTGATCTGTAAGATACACCCAGATGTAGCAAGCTACTTGTGAAATAGCTGAAGTCTTCTGAGGATGCTACAGATGGTCCACAAGTGATAACTTTAAACCATACTCGTGTATAAAGACCATTGTTCCTTCAAAGGAGACCTAGGCACGTGACATGGGTCTTGTTCCCTGCCAATGGGCCCCATGGCTCGCCTCATTTAGCTACTATATTCTGTGGTCTGCATTCCCCCAAGGACGATTGATCGGTTAGGGCAGATGTTCAGGGGTCTCAGCTGACGCTGCCCAACCTGCATCATTGCATCAGGAGGGGTCCGAAAGGCAACAGCCCCCAAGCACCACTTCTCTGAGCATTTTGTTCATGTCATCTACCATGTTTGACTTTCCACAGGACAAGCACCACTGTGTCTGAAGAAATGGTTCCATTCCAAGCAAATTCAGTTCAATAAGAGTGAGTGAGAATATTTAAGTAGAGAAAGGAGAAAGAGACGGCTAACGACGATTAGCAAGCACGTGTCCAGGGCTTCTCTGTTGGACAGTAGATAAAACCAGTGTCCAATGGCCAGCACGAAAATGAAACATAACTTTTATGAAGTTGAATTCAAAAGTGGGTGGATGTTGGGGAAATTGAAACGCTGGCATTGCCTGTGAAAGAGCTGTCGCCATCTGTGTTTGAGCAGAGCTCGGGGTTCACGTCCCTTTCTTTCCCTGGTAGCCTTTGGAAATGCCTCCTGCCTGGGCCCAGGGCCCTGTGCAGCTCCCTAGTGAGGTGCAGACGTAAGCGTCAGAGAGCAAACGGCAGGTTGCTGTGCTGCCTTGACTCCACTCGGAAATACAGAAAGGATTACGGTGCAGAATTGTCTTAAATGACACAGTCTACTTAGAGCCTAGAAGCTACTTAAGAGCGTATTGTTTGACCAGAGATCTCTCCCTCCTCCCGTTTCCTCTGAGAAGAACATTTCTCAGTTGACTCTCATAAACAGGTTCTAAGTTTCAAAGGACGTGAGCCAGTTTTCAGAGAAACTTCAGGTACACCCAAGAATCAGGCAACCTGCATACCAGCCACTCATGGTACAGAGAAAATCCCGGTTGGGTTTTGGGAGCCAAAGTGGGGATGAGACACAGGAGGAGCTGGAGCTGTCTCAGTGGGGCTGCACGTGAAGCTTGTAACTTCTGGTGGGTGGTGGTGCCTGCCTGTGCCCCTCTGTGCTCTCAGGATTGATGGTATCTGACTCCGTGGGACTTCAGTGAGAATTAAGTAAAAACAGTGATTCGAACTGAGAAGCATCTAGCGAGAAAACCGGCAAGCAGGAGTCGTGATGGCTATCACTCTGGCAGAATTTCAGTGTTTGTTGGGTGCTTCTTTGCCTATGCTAAGCTCGGCCTCTAGATCTCCAGAGGTTAACAGGACACGGGTAGGAATGGAGGCCAAGGGAAAGGGCAGGCGTGGAACAGGAGGGCCAGGAGGGCAGTGTGTGGCTTCGGCAGAGCATCTTTTTGCCTCTAATGATGCCTCGAATTTCTGGTATTTGAAGCCACTTTTGTTTCTCAGGCAAATCGAGACCTTACCAAAACAAGCAGGCTGGTGACTGTCATTTCATGGTCACGTAGGCTGGTCCCTATGATTTATTTACTGGGATTTATCAGCTTGTGAATTCAAAGTCCTGCTGGGTGAGCCATCGAGCTGAGTAATCGCAGGACTCCAGGTGTGCATCGGAAAGACACCTCACTAGTGGAATTTCCAGGAGTCAGCTCGTGCTAAACGGCCCAGCTAGTCTCAGAAGCAAAGCTCTTCACTCTGCCTGTATGCAGGTGACCAGAAGAGATCTGGCAAAGTTTGGAGAACCATGAGAGCTATTAAAGGTCCCCAGTAACCCAGGATTCCGAATTTAGTGCAGAGCACATATTGAAGCAGGTACTCAGTACATCATTTGCTGAACATAATGAATGAAACCAAGCCATTTAGTTATACCCCACTGCTTCCGGGATATTTATGTACAGTGACCACAATGCTAAATAAATGTTTTCAGTGACATAAAGCGAGGAAATACAATCTGATGCAAATTATTCCCAGCCACGCTGTTCAAAAAACTCATGCGGCAAATGGGGGCCAGGATTGACAGTGATTAATCAGCCTATCTCCTCTCTGCTTGGGACAGCATTAGAATTGCAAATTGCATTAGAAATGCCCACAGGCTGGAAAGTGCATTTCAAGAACTGTGGATGAAACTATGCCCAGTGTGGTCTGCACATGCCAGTGACAAAGTGAGCGTGCACACACACACACGCACAAGAAGTGTCCAGATACAAGTGGTGTGTGGAGGCGAACCGTTCAGGGGAAGATGATAAGGTAGGTGAGTGTCAGTCCAACGCGTACAGGAAGGTGAATGATTATTAATCTCCCACGAGGGTACAGGAAGGAGCTCCCTTACCCGTCCCTTTGCTCCCCGAGACACTAAGTGACAACATGCCGCAGCAGTTCTTCCCGAGGAGAGAGTCCGGAGCCAGCGAGTTTCCGTGTGAAGCGAGGCCCTCCGTGTGCGACTCTTCACTTGCGTGACCCGAAGGGCTCACCTGCCAGCCCCCGCGGCTGTGTCCCCTGATGAGCGGTTTCTTGGGATCAGCCCAGTTCTCCTTCGTGGCTGTTGCACTTGACCTACTGTCTGCTGGTTTCTCTAAAGAATCACGAAGAGCTCTGATGGATCCTTGTTACCCTGAACTTGGGTTTGTTCTCATAATGTTATTTAATGTTTTGTCTGTTTAACGTGGGACCTTCCCGTCAGAGAGACGGTGTGGTTTGCACTTTTCTATGCACACCTTGTACGAAGGAGCACGCACTGCGATTGTAGTGTCACGGGGTCCGTGTGAGATGGCTTTCTGTCCTGTGAGCTTTTACTTTGGCTCTTGGGTGACACTGATTACGTTTGTGGCTGACTTTAGAAAGCACGGTGGACTTGGATCTATGAGAGGAGCAGGGTCTGAGCAGGGCTCATGGGACACTCTCCAGCACTGTGTGACGGGAAAGCAGGGCTAGGCGGCTCAGCTACCCCTGCTCTGACTCCTGTGATTCTACGAACACAAATACGGAGATTGCACGGAGCCAGGCCCAGGGCGGTCAGCAACCCTGGCTGAAGACTCAGGATCACTGAGCAGGTGGCATTTTCTGGTGACCCCTGCAAAGACCTGTGCTTATGCTACCCAAAGGGACAGACAGAGCCTCCCCCACCGTAAACAGATTTCTAAATAAGAAGGCGCATCTTCGTGGGGGCGGGTGGCTGGAGAGCGCTGAGGTGCCACTCTTGGGAGGCCCTCATTCCTCACTCCGGGCTTCCCTGTGTGGCCATCTCAGGCTTCCTGGGCTATCACTTGGTGCTGGATGCTGTTCTTTACTGATTCATTTTTAAAAGTTTTCTTTATATTTCCTTGAGAGACTAAGCATCAGAACACAGCCAACCAGATGGGTAGACAAACCTCACCACAGCCCATGACCACGGACTCTCCTCACGTATCCTGGGGGCCCCTGGGCTCTCAGGGAGCTCGTGGAAGAGGAGAAGGGCGTGGTTACACGTCACGGCCTGTCTCGGGGATGTGTAAAGTGCCAGGACGAGTTAACCCATTGGACTGCAGGGTCCAGCGTGGTCTCCTGGATCCTGGAAGGGTGACACTTGAGTTGAGTCTTGGATGGGAAGACAGGATTTAGGTCACTGCAGGGAAAGGCACTGCTGACAGACTGGTGGCAGGAGATTATGCTTGACGTGTCTGACAGCTTCGGACTCAGCCAGCCAACTGCATGCAGTCCAGAGAGACGGTGGCTGAAGTGAGGGATTGGGAAGGAACACAGCTTGCTGCGTTTGAGCCAGGACAGAGCTGGCAGGCTAATTAAAATCTGTGATTTAACTGGTGGTTACTGTAACACTGCATGTAATATCCTT